GATGGGGCCACCCCTGCCCCTTGTTTACTGTACCTTGTCTGGCATGTGATTGGCTGTGTAATTCTCAAGTTGCTTTCTGGGAGAAATTGAATGCTGGAAATCAAAGTATAGGTTATTCTTTATCCTCACTTACTGCCACCCTCCCAGGCTCACTTCAGTACATCCAGACCTCCATCCATGATGGGGCCACATTTATACTTGTTCTCTTTTATTCCTTTGGACATTTTGGTCCCACTGCATAGAGACCCTCTCTTAGCTGACTCCAGGAGTCCTTAAAAACCCCACTGACCTATTTTTCCTCCTCTGTGATGCTGCCCCCCCCCCCCATGTTGATACTTGTATACAAGCACTCAGCGTGTTCTGTATCTCTCTGTGCCTGGTCCATGGCCACCATATGAAGGGATCCTGGCCAGCTGGCACATTGTCCGTCATTCTTTCCTCTGTCTTCCCCTCCTGCCTCACTGGCCCCACTCCAGTTTCTGCAGTTACCTAACAAATGATTACCCCCATCGACTTAACCTGTGGAGGATTTTTTTTTTTTTAAGATTTTTATTTATTTATTCAATAGAGTCACACACAGAGAGAGGCAGAGACACAGAGGGAGGAGCAGGCTCCACGCAGGGAGCCTGATGCGGGACTCAATCCCTGGTCCCCAGGATCAGGCCCTGGGCTGAAGGTGGCGCTAAACTGCTGAGCCACCCAGGCTGCCCCTGTGGAGGATTTTTGAGGGAGTGCTCCGAAGTCTCTGCAGTCCTATGCACAGCTTCCCATTCTCCCCCTTCTTCCCCACAGTTTCCTGCAAACTCTCCTGACCCAGTAGCTTCTCCACCTGGAGCCTGCAGTTGGGTCTTGCCTGGCTCCAGAGACAAGAGGTTTGGAGTTTTTTGTTTTGTTTTGTTTTTTAAGATTTTATTCATTTATTCATGAGACACACAGAGAGAGAGGCAGGTAGAGGAAGAAGTAGGCTCCAGGTAGGGAGCCTGCAGTGGTACTCCATCCCAGGACTCCAGGATCAAGCCCTGGGCCGAAGGCAGGTGCTAAACCACTGAGCCATCCAGTGATCCCCTGGGTTGTTTTTTTTTTTTTTTTTTTTTAATCAGTTTACTGTTTTGTTTATACCCTTTATTTTTTTATTTTTTAAAGATTTTATTTATTCATGAGAGAGAGAGAGGCAGAGACAGGCAGAGGGAGGGCTCCCGGCAGGGAGCCCGATGCGAGCCTCGAACCCGGGTCTCCAGGATCACACCCTGGGCCGAAGGCAAGCGCCAAACTGCTGGGCCACCAGGGCTGCCCATATTTTTATTTTTAAAAAGATTTTCTTTATTTGACAGAGGGAGGCATAAGCAAGGGAGGAATGGGCAGAGGGAGAGGAAGAAGCAGGCTCCCTGCCAAGCAGAGAGCCTGACGTGGGGCTGGATCCCAGGACCCAGGATCATGACCTGGCCGAAGGCAGGCAGGCTCCTAACCAACTGAGCCACACAGGTGCCCCTATAGTACCTTTATGTTAAAAGGTAACTGAATCAAGAGCCACACATGAGTATGAGTAAAAATATTCGTGAGAACAAAACAGCATTGTTAAATTCTGTGTAAATGATCATACTGTCTGCTGACACCTCTGTGCACAACTTTTCACACTGGCACCAGACAGGGACTCTTCCTTGTCAACACTGGAATGAGTGAAATGAAAACAGGAACACACACGGGGTGATTAAATGCCATCCACCTAAAGCTGCCCTGTGAACCCTCCCACAGCTCCACTTGAGCCCTGGCATGTCACACTCAGGTGGCTGTAGACCTTGCTTCTCTGAGATTAAGGTCCCACTCTTTATTTATTAAATCTCTGAGCTTGGAGAAACCCTTCTCTGTCTTCTTTGCTGCTCACCTCAGCCATGAAGGCATACTTTGTGAAGGCTTCCATGCATGGCTGAATGCAGCTTCCAGAGTACTTCCTTCCTTCTCCCCATGTCATACTCAGTGTTATGTAATTCAGCCTGGCTCCATGGTGTCACACACACCACCCCACCCCTCCCCCTGTTCTCTCTTCTGAGCAAGCTCTTTCTAATGGTTCCACACCTTATCCCACCCTTTGGATGCTTCCCCTCCCTGGATCGATATGTGGCCTCCTTTCTGTTCTCATTTGGGTGCATTTACTCAAAGTCACTGGGCCCCAGGGCCAATCTTGTCCTTTCTTAGCTTCCAGCTGGGCTTACCTCATACAGCCCTCATGTGCCTCCCTCCCACCAATAGTGCCTCCATCCCTGCTGTCCTGCCTTGATTCATGACCCAAGCACTTCTTTCCAGGACCCCATGGCCATTGATTCTGGCCAGACTTGTACCAGAAGTACCCCTGATGGGAGAGAGGAAGTATCTTATGTCTTCAGAGTCTGGAGCAGGCCTATCCAGTCACATCTGCCTCTGGAAACTATTGTAGTCCACGATAATTCTCATTGATCCCACCTTCAAGTGAGGTTGCTTTAGGGAGAAATGCCCCTTTGTTGTCCTGAACTTCTGGAGCACCACTCTTGACTTGGGGGCTTTCCAGAGTGCTGTCCAGTTCCCCATCTTTAGCACCATGCAATAGGTACCAGGAAATGGCTTCACACCTACTGTCCCTGTAAGTATTCTTCCTGAGCTGGTGTTCTCGTGGTAGGGCACACACATATTTAGAGGTTGCCATAGGAGCTTCTCTCCCCTTCTTGAATCTCAGGAGGACCCTGAGAGGGCCCAGACTATAAATACTCACCTGGTGTCTTGGACACAGTTGGGCCACATTAAATATCTGAGCTTAGTACTGGATGCTAAAGGCCACATCTAGACTCCTCTAAGGTGCACTGCTGTAACAAACCCACCCTCCAGTGCCTTGGATAGTAGCACTAGTGTTTCTTTCCACAGTGTTGTGCCTCCTGTGAGCTAAATGATCAACGAATTATTCAGTTTGGGGTTTTGAGTGATTGGCATCCCATCAGTGGAAAGACAAAAGCCACTCGTAGGTCTCTTACGGTTTGGTGAAAAAGGATTAAAGAACAGTCTTTCCTCTTAAAGCAAACATGGCTTCAGTTCTCAGACTATGTAAGATGAAGGGTCTTGCATGTGATGGCCTTGGGCTATTCCCACCTGGATCCCTTCCTTGCACCAGCCTCCTCGTTGTAGCAAGGTCCTCTAACTGTTCACTAGCCAGTTGACAGCTAGACCTGCAGTCAGCAGCCAGAGCACCCTGGAAGGAATGCTGTCTCATTGACCAAATCAGTTTTGTCAGTTTGGGGGGCTTACCCTGCATCTAGAACACATGTGTGGGAGTGGTCAGCCTCAGGCCAGGAGCTCCAGCTTTCCACAGCCCCCTAGAAGAGACTCAGCACCAAGTTGCATTTACACAGCAAGCTTTCCCTTGGTGCTTTTCAAATTTGGTAACTTGCCAGGACTGCATTTACAAAAACCTTTGTGAGGACCTTGGTTTAAATTACGCTTGGATTGAATTATAAAGGAATTCCTTAGCAACCAGAGGGCCTAGCATGTGGTAAGTGTGTTCCAGAAAGAAAACTGTGACAGAGCCAGTGAACTTGTCCTGTCTTTTCGTCCCCTGTCTGCCATACCAGAGTGTGATTGTAAAACCTGCCCCTTTTTCCTTAGCCATTGCCTGACTTTCCCAGCCAGAGACATTTTCTTACCCCCACTCAACTTCTAGTTTATTACTGGAGATGCTCATTAGATGCAGGTGACTTGTAGATTACAAAGTCTTTCTTATTCCAGGGACTGAGTTTAAAGGTGATTTTCCTTTTTTCCTGCCAGTAGAAGTGTCAGAAACACGGTACACAGAAAGAATGTCAAATAAGTACGCATTTGAACAGATGTTTCATCTCGTTAATAGAGGGTGGGTTAGTGTGTTTCTCGAGGGCAGTTTGCCTTAACAGCATGTACCCCCTGATCTGTGGTTTTGTTAGAATAATTGGACCAGATGCACAGAGTTGCCATTGTGAGGATGCTTGTGGCAGGATTTGTGTTGTTGGCATGGCCTGAAGCAGGGGTCATTCAGGTGAGGGGAGTATACAGGATGGGGTGCTCACACAGGCATTGAGCTATATTTCTCACACCCCCTTGTGCAGGTCACAAGAGGTGCCTTATTTCTCTCTAAATAAACTTTGAAAATCTGGTTAATAAAGTGTTAGGTTGAATGTGGATTCATTTTTAGGTTATCAGCAGTTATCTTGTAGGATATCTTGAATCAGCAAACATATTATTTTCAGTTACCAAGGAAATGTTCTTAGTGAGTGTGAGGCTTTACCTTGAGCACTCACACAGGGGCTGTGTGAGCCAATCTCCGTTCCTGTCCCCCCCCCAATCACCAAACAGAATTACTGACTTGGCTCGATATTTCTTGAGCCTCAAGAGCAAAGAATTTTGATGTAAAGGACATATATGGGGGCTCACAAATCATCCTATCTCCCACACAGGCAGTGTCCCATAAAAACTCAGATGGGGGCAGCCCAGGTGCCTCAGCGGTTTAGTGCCACTTTCAGCCCAGGGCGTGATCCTGGAGACCCGGGATGGAGTCCTACGTCGGGCTCCCTGCATGGAGCCTGCTTCTCCCTCTGCCTGTGTCTCTGCCTCTTTCTGTGTGTCTCTCATGAATAAATAAATAAAATCTTGAAAAAACAAAAAACCTCTCAGATGTTGTGAAAACCTAGTTTGTTGCTTATTCTACCCCTTTCCGATGGATTCCCACAGCCCTTGCCTGCTCATGCTCAGCTCTTCTCTCTGAACTATGTCCCTCACGCCCCTCGCTGTTGGTGTTTGATATCTTCCCTGCTATAGGAGGCATCTTTGAGGAGAGCTGACCCAGGGGCCCTTTTTAGTCAGTGGCTAAAGGAGTGGCTCTCTGGTCAGCTTGACCACTTTCCACCAGAGATGCTCAGCCCTTGGGGGTCACAGCCACCTGTTACTATGCATGGTGTCCATCTGCTTCCTGGTTTCTGATGATGGATGGCTTTTCTCTTTCCTTGTAGAGTGCCCAGTGAAGAATGTGATGGGATCAGTAGCATGTCTGCGGAGAGCGGCCCTGGGACGAGATTAAGAAATCTGCCAGTAATGGGGGATGGACTAGAAACTACCCAAATGTCTACAACGCAGGCCCAGGCCCAACCCCAGCAAGCCAACGCAGCCAGCACCAACCCCCCGCCCCCGGAGACCTCCAACCCCAACAAGCCCAAGAGGCAGACGAACCAACTGCAATATCTGCTCAAAGTGGTGCTCAAGACACTATGGAAACACCAGTTTGCGTGGCCTTTCCAGCAGCCTGTGGACGCCGTCAAGCTAAACCTCCCTGTGAGTAACTTGGGCAGGACCCGGGGCTGCTGTCCTCTAGGTGTCTTCCTGTGTTGCAGTGGTGAGGGTGGGCTCAAGGTCGGGGTGAGGCAGAGGGAGCTTTGGGGCCCAGCTTTGAACTAACTACCAATACTTACAAGGCCCTTGAGTGAGTGATTTCTATAGTCCTGATGGGTAGAAGTAGGAAGGGAGAGGAGATTGTTCCGAGGCACACAGTAACTGATTCTTAGATATTAGGATCCAGGAGATAACTGTGTAGAGAGGTTGAAATGGGGGTGAAAGAGTGCTTGCAGCTTTCCTTCTGATTCCATAGGGGAGCTGAAGTGGGAGCAATCAGTAGCCCAGGCCCCCTACTTCTCAGACATGGTTGGCTGGCCCAGGATTAGTGGAGTGGTTGGTCAAACTGTGGAAGGGGAACTGGTTTGCTGCAATACCTTTTCTGGTATTGGCATCATCATCATCGTCATCACCCAGAGCACAGGGCAGGAAAAGGTAGGGGAATATCTCTCAGGGAGCAAGCACGTGGAGGGATCCTGGTTGGAGAGCAGAGGGGTGGGTGCAGCTGTGCCCTCAACTGCCTCTATGCACACTATCCACCTGTGTCGTAGCCACAGTGCACTTGCTCTTGTTCTTTTGTACCTCTGCTCTTCTCTCCCTAGAGAGTTTTCCTTTTGCCCACATCCCTAGCAAATGGTTCTGGAGATCAATTTGCATCTCTAACTGAGCCTCAGGGAAGAAACGGGTTAAATGCTTTTTTCCCTTCTCTTCAAAGCATCAAGGACTGATTGTCTTTAAGTTAACCTTTGCTGTACTCTAAGTCCCATACAGCCCCTGATGAGGAATTAGGTGATTATTGCTATAGACCTAGGCTAGGGTCTGTGAGTGTTAGAACTACACCGGCATAGGAACCTTAGCCTCTGCCAGGCATCCAATTTCAAGAAGGATGAGTACAGTAATGTGACCCTTCCTGTCTGGAAAGCTGCTGAGTCTGTGACAACTGTCCACTTATTTATGTCTGCTGAATAGGTGTCATATGCATTTGGGAAGAGCAAGTCAGGAGGAGGCACTGCAGGTCTAGATCATGAATTGGCTCAAAAGAGGGGTTAGAGGTAAAAGAGGGTCCTTGCAGATCTGGGCTTCAGAGGCGGTTCATGCTGTTGACCACGAGAAGGAGTAGAAGCAGACAGCCAGTCACCGGAGAGGGGTGGGTGGGCTTTTGGGAGAGCTTGTTACAGCATAAACTTGGGCTGGGCCGGGCCGAGCATATAGGGTCCACAGGTAAGGGTGACCTTCCCATAGAAAATGCAAAGAATGGGGAGAGAAGCAAGCTGAAGGGCCTAATTCAGGAGGGCTGAGGCTTCAACAACACCAGAGAGGGGGTGAGAGGCCTGCAGAGCAGCCAGGAGAAGCTCGAGCAGAGAGCAGCCCCCCAAATTCCCACCTCAGAGGCTGCAGGGAGGTCAAAGAGATGAGGATTCCAACCTGACCCTCCTGTTGGCCTTTAGGAGGGCATTGGTGACCTTAGGAAGATGTGACGCAGAAGTAGAAACCAGATTCTCGACGGTGTGAATGAGAAGGTGAGGATGCGAAGCCATCATTTCAAGAAATTTGGCTTTGAAGGGAAAGCGCGGCAGGGCCTGAGTGGAGGAGGGGTTGGTTTGTTAAAGGAAGACACAGAGAGGGGGCTGAGAGGGTGAAGACAGAGGAGAAGTGGGTGCTGGGGGACGGAGACCCCGAGGAGGCACCGTCCCAGCCAGCAGGACAGACATGGGTATGGGTGGTTTGTAAGGTCCAGTGGCAGGGGAGTTTGAGGTCGCTCACCATGAGGTAGAGGCCAGGCTCCCCAGGGCTCAAGGTTGAATCTCTGTCTCCACGACTGTTGGACGTTGGAAGAGGCCATTGGAAAGGTGCTGCTGATCTGGTATCTTCAGGGAGGTGGGAGAGCGAGGAGCTGGCCCAGAGAAGCAGGGCACAGCTGGTCAGCTGGGAGCCATATCATGTTTAAAGCCTGGTTTTCTGGGGACCTCTCCCCATCCTTGAGGAAATGTTAATACAGCCACCAAAAGAAGGATTCCTTCTTTTTCTTTTTCTGACACCTTCCAGGAACCTTGACCTGCATTTTTGCTTCGATCCCTGCTGGACTTTAACTAGAATGCCTGCCTCTTTTGTACAGTAAACCTGTACAGTTGGATTGTTATGCCCCTAACTCCTTGCCCGCCCCGTGGCCCCCCCACCCCCGTCCTGTTTGCCCTTGAGCCACTTGATGGGCCATGGGCAATTCAAGCACTTGACACCATCAATGGCCATAGAATAAAATACGTTTCCACTGAGGTACATATATTTGGCCTTGGTTCTCTTGGGAAAGGTGGTCAGAGCCATAGTATGACATAGAAAATGTCAGATTTTCTGGTGCCATTTGTTTTCATGGCCTCCTGGCCGGGTACCCAGGCATGCACGTGCAGCCCTTGTCTGATCAGGGCCATGATTTCTGCAACTCATTACATGTAAGCTTGTTGCTTTTGTCCCTTTCTCGTGGATATCAGAGCAACTTAAAATCTCATACCCTCTGCTCACCTTTCAGTACTGTCCACCATTTCCAGGCAAAACCTTGGCATTTGCTAAAGGATAAACCTATCTTTCTGCCATCGGGTTCCCACTTGGACTTGGGCTCAGACTTGGGGGGCTCTTCAATTACGGGAGCCTTTGAGTTTGCAGTCCTTAGTGGAGTGGGCCAGATGCACACAGGTCTCCCTGTCTTGGCTCTGTGATTCTTCTACCTGGAAACCTGGTGTGTTTCCTGTTCTGCCCCAAATACCTGGTGGTGTTTTTGTTTTGTTTTGTTTTGTTTTGTTTTTAAATATTTAGTTTTTGGGTAGGTTTTGATTTAGAGAAAAGCTGATAATAGTAGAGTCTGATTTGAAGGGCTTTAGAACATTTATACCTGCCATCTGGCTCCTTCTGTTTGGCACTTGTGGAGTAAGATACAAAGGTTTGAGGAGTGGGGTCTGCTGATTTTTTTTTTTTAACTTGAGGATTGTGTATGTTGTCCAGATTCCTTATTAACCTGGTTAGTTCAACTATATCCAGGCACTACTAATGGGTCCTTAGAAAGACTGTGTGCTAGTAAGAGAGATGGAAGTATAATGAACTTGAGTGAAGGTGGAGGCTTCTACTCTGTCCTCCTCAGTATGTCCAGAAGCCAGGGGTCCAATGCCAGGTGGGCTTCCATGCTGCTTCCATTCAATTTCACATTTTGTGGACATTAACATTTCAAATGGTAGGGGAAAAGTAGAACCTAGATAAGAACCACTTTTAAAAAGGCTATATGTTTTCCTCATTTATTAAAAATTATAAAGGATTTTAACATCACACACAAAAAGATAGGAAAAAAACATAGATCTCCATAATGACAACCTGTTCTCAGACCAGGGCAGTTGACGTACTTTTACGTTTTCCCTCCAGATTTCCACCTAGCATTTAAGAATTCTTCCCTGATTTACTTTATGTGGGGGTTCCCCCTTGAGATTGCTTGGTGAGACTGTGGAAGAGCTTCAGTCTGTGCTATGACTCTCATCTTTGTTCTTGGAGTGAGATCCACAGGCCCACCATAAGTGCTTCATGGCCGGGGAGGTGACACTGGCCTTTTGCTCTCTTTGCTCTCCAGGATTACTATAAAATCATTAAAACACCTATGGATATGGGAACAATAAAGAAGCGCTTGGAAAACAACTATTACTGGAATGCTCAGGAATGTATCCAGGACTTCAACACTATGTTTACAAATTGTTACATCTACAACAAGGTGAGATGTGGTGGCAAATGTCCTGCTGCCCAGAGCGGGAGGGGAAGTGGGGGGAAGGGAAAGGAAAGGAGGAGATGGAGACAGGCACATCTGGAGCCTGTGGACAGGGGTACTTGGGAGCGGGTGGGACTCTAGTCGGTTGGGAGGAGACCATTTGGAGGCAGAAATAATGGGACCCATGGTTTTGCCTGTGACTGAGTGTTTCTTTTTCGGGGAGGAGGGTGCTGGCTTTGTTTGACTTCCAAGCATCCTTGTTAGCTTGAAGCATGTGCTTCTGGTGCCCTTGGGATTTTGGTTCTTGAGCATGTCTAGTAGAGAAGCTGTGAGGATAGTGAAGACTCATTAAAAAAAAAAAATCCCATTTGGGTGATAAAAGTTGTCAGGAAGGAGCCTACTAAAATGTAGTTATGAAAAGGTGTGCTCAAATAGAAACCTCAATGTGAGAGAGGGTGTGATGGGCCCCACCGCATCTGGAACTGTGGACATGACCATTGACAACTTACAGCCGTAGAATTGTCCCCTGATCTCACATGTAGACCTGAAGGTCACTTCTTAACCCCATTAGCCAACCCTTTCGGCTCGGCTGTGCCATGAAGCCAGATCATTTGTTTACAGTTCAGACCACAGATGTGATTAAAACCAACCCTTTCATATAGAACGGCTCTGGAGGGAGACCCTATACAGAACTCAGCTTTTGGCCTCTGCTGGTGTAGTGGGTAAAATTGCCCAGAAGAGATGGGTAGGTGAGTTTCTTGAAGTTTACTGTGTTTTTTTAAAGTCTCAGCTCCCACTGCTAGGTTTAAGTGACATGTGCACAGATGAGGTTCTTGGGTTAGAGCTGAGTGGGAACAGCATGTCGGAGATGAGGCAACAGAATGGGGACCCATAATTCAGTTCAAGGTAGGCAATGCCCCAGCCCTAGTGAGTTGCCTTGAGGGTACACTGGGGAGCTTTGTCAGAGCCCTGCTAGCTTATCTGTGGCAAGAAATCCTGTGTAATTCAAATATTTGTAAATGAGGTTGAATTGTGTCAAAGGAGGGCTTCTGTCAGTGATTGGCAGGGCTTGTTAGATACTTAAGGCATTAGGATGGCTTCTCAGGCCAGAGCTTAAAAGAATGGAGAGGGAGGTGCAGGCAGACAGGTGCTGGTTCAGGCACATGAGCCTCTGTGATATCTGGTGGTATAACTGTTGTGGCTCTTTAGGGTTCAGGTCGGGGAAGGACCCTAACTATGATAACTTGATGCTGTGGAGCAGGGAATGGGTGGCACAGGGTGGGGAGCTCTTGCTCCGTCTGGACAGGTGGTGAGGGCTTTCTGACCCTCACCCCCGTGTCTCCTTTTCCAGCCTGGAGATGACATAGTCTTAATGGCAGAAGCTCTGGAGAAGCTCTTCTTGCAGAAAATCAATGAACTGCCCACTGAAGAAACGGAGATCATGATAGTCCAGGCAAAAGGAAGAGGACGTGGGAGGAAAGAAGCAGGTAGGTACCTCCAGTGCCCCCTGCCCTGTTGTCCTCACACTGAAACAGCAAGGATTGGCTCCCCCCCCCCCCCCAGGTCTTTACCCCTTCTCCAGATTGAGTGGAGGACCAGGGGCCGGGAGGCAGGCTTAGTGGTGGATGCGCCCCAGAGGGTCACAGGACTGCGTGACCTCTCACAAAGTAGAAATAGTTGGGCTGTGCTCTTTTTGATGGACTTCAGTTAAAAAGAAAGTGTAATTTTTTTCAAGGGATTTTTTTTTTTTAAGATTTTATTTATTCATGAGAGAGAGAGAGGCAGAGACATAGGCAGAGGGAGAAGTAGGCTTCCCACAGGGAGCCTGGTGTGGGACTTGATCCCAGAACCCTGGGATCACGACCTGAGCCGCAGGCAGATGCTCAACCACTGAGCCACCCAGGTGACCCTCAAAGCATTTTTAAGTTATTTGAATTCTTCATCCCATCTTAGAGAAAAGAAATTAACTCAGCTAAGGGCAGTTTTAACTAATAATCCCTATCCTGGAACCTTGAGGTTGGTTAATTGAGTTATCATAAGATGCTTATGTTAGAGCCAGGCCTGCTTTTTGATGCTGCTGAAGTCGAAGTGAAGCCCTCCCCTCCTTGTCCATCTCAGCACCCACTCTGTTCCCTGCCCGTCTCTCAGCCTGACACAGGATTCCAGAGGCAGCTGCTGGGGAGGGAGGAGGGGAAACAATGAAATGTTTCTGTCTAGGAAAGGCTTGAACAGCTGCCTTGTGCATCTTGCCGTCCTCAGCTCTGTCTGAGGGTGGCCCATGCTGTGAGTTGTTTGCTTCTCTACAGAAGGCTTTCACCTGACATCCTACACCCTGCCCAGAGGTGGTGGCTTCACGGGAGCAAAGGGGGTTGGCTGGATCCCAGACAGTGCTGAGGGTTAGCCAGGGAGGTGTGGTCCTGAGGGGCACCTCTTAGCTGTGGATCCTGCAAGGAGGTGTCCAGTATCCTTAAATCCAAGAGCCCTGCCCTTGTGCCCTAGGACCAGGAGTTTGATCTGCACATGGGACAGACACAGGGTATTGTATGTTTGGGCTCCCCCGCACAGCTGCAAGGAGGCAGTCTGAGCCGATCACAAAGGGCAGCAGCCGTCCAGCCTCCTCCTGTGGCTCAGGGAGGTGGAAGTTTGCCAGTTTCCAGAAACCTTGGCCAGGGCTGCCGATGCGGGCCCCCTGCCAGAATTGCTTACTCAGAAGGCAGCGCTTCTGGGAATGAGGACAGCTCTGTCCAAAAGCGCCAAGGAACATTTTTCCGCTCTCCATCTACAGTCCTGGTGCTAACTCTCAGCATGTGTTTCCTGCTCCTCTGGCCCAGGCCTCCGTGCTCCTGAAGGCGTCTTTGTGCCTGATATGGGACTTGAAGCCAGGACGCCTCAGAAAATGTGGAATGCAGTGTGCTGCAGCTCTCAGAAAACCTAAGGGCAGGTGGACCAATTTGGCCGAGGTCTAGGGTGTTCGGGTTATACTGTCTCTAAGGCAAATAGTTACCATGACACTGTGTGCCATGACCCCACAGATGTGTGCTCACCATATTGTGACACTGTCCCCATGAGGTCAGCCACCGTGTGTTGGGCTTGGCATCTAACCACGTGTCCCTTTTACAATTGATAGGGACGGCAAAACCTGGTGTCTCTACGGTACCAAACACAACGCAAGCATCGACTCCTCCGCAGACCCAGACCCCTCAGCAGAACCCTCCACCTGTGCAGGCCACACCTCACCCCTTCCCTGCAGTCACCCCCGACCTCATCGTCCAGACCCCCGTCATGACAGTGGTGCCTCCCCAGCCACTGCAGACGCCCCCACCGGTGCCCCCTCAGCCACCACCCCCACCCGCACCAAACCCCCAGCCTGTGCAGAGCCATCCGCCCATCATCGCAGCCACCCCACAGCCTGTGAAGGTGAGCATCCTCTCTGTGTGTGTGTGTGTGTGTGTGTGTGTGTGTGTGTGTGTGTGTGTCCCAGCCCAGCCACTGGTGGACTTTTACCACCTCAGCTGGTGCCTGCCCCCTTGTCTTCTCCATAGCAGAGAGGTCAGCAGGAGACAGTCACCTGTCCTGGCTCCTGGGCACTTGTGGGTATTTTGCGGGCAGGGGTTGGGGGGTATTGTGCATTGTTTAAGTCATGGCCTAGAAGCTACTGCCCTGCTGGCCTGGATATCCCATAGTTGAGACCCACTTCCCAGGGGCTTGCTGACCCCTTCTCCCCTCTAATGTAGACTGTGCATATGCCTCCTGTGGGAGGCCAGTGTGACAAGGCTTGACTCTGAGCGACTTCCCTGGCATTAAGTAGAAAGCTGCTTTGGGAGGTTTCTTTGGCCTCCAGTGAGCAGGTTCTGCACTCAGGTGTGTGCTTCCTCCTGCCACTGGCAGGGATCCTATCCCAGCTGCAGAGCAGAGTGATGGGAGAGGGTCTTTCTTTGCCGTGGTCCTTCACCCATGGAGTTACCTTTGAGCCCCACTCCCCATGAATGTTGGAACCTTAGAAAGGACCTAGCTTCAGGAATGATCTGAGGGACGGTTGTGCCAGCTGCCACCTCTGACCGTGCTTGTTGCACGTGTGCTCTCGGCAGACAAAGAAGGGAGTTAAGAGGAAAGCGGATACCACCACCCCCACCACCATCGACCCCATTCATGAACCACCATCACTACCCCCGGAGCCTAAGACCACCAAGCTGGGCCCCCGGCGGGAGAGTAGCCGGCCTGTGAAGCCTCCCAAAAAGGATGTGCCCGACTCGCAGCAGCACCCAGTGCCAGATAAGAGCAGCAAGGTCTCAGAGCAGCTTAAGTGCTGCAGTGGCATCCTCAAGGAGATGTTTGCCAAGAAACACGCAGCCTATGCCTGGCCGTTCTACAAGCCCGTGGATGTAGAGGCGCTGGGTCTGCATGACTACTGTGACATCATCAAGCACCCCATGGACATGAGCACAATCAAGGTGAGCAGATGCCCCCTCAGAGCTGGGGGCCAGTCTTCCTAGGACAAAGAAGGTCAGAAGCTCCTAAGCTGGTCCAAGAGGAAGGCCCAGGCCTTGGGCTCTGGTGAATGTGCCCTAGTAACTATCTCTTCTTACCAGCTCAAAGAAGCCCAGCGCCCCCTGCTGGGAATTGTGAGGACAACCTCCAAGACCATGTGCTTGGGGATTTTCTTCTCAAACAGCAGTCTTGCCATCGTCTCTAAGGACGATGTGGCCTTGGGCCCCAGTGCCCACCGGCATCTTGCACAGTACGTGCTCCAGGTGAGGTTGAAGGTTGGTGATTTTGCTAGGCTCTGTGTCATGGAGAGGGTCTTGGTGTTATCTCTCAGTAGGAGCCACACAATGCTGCCATTTTCATTGTAATATTTTGAGGCCTTTTGATTGTGTTTGTTTATTTTAAGCTATTTTGCATTTCTGTTTGGGAGTGGAGTAAGTCTGCCCAAACATGGGACAGGGAAGGGAGGGTACAGTGCTGGTGTGCTTTTTTTTTTTTTTTTTTTTACTTTAAAAAAATTTTATTTTATTTATTTATTCATGAGAGATAGAGAGGCAGAGGGAGAAGCAGGCTCCATACAGGGAGCCTGACATGGGACTCGATCCCAAGTCTCCAGGATCACGCCCTGGACCAAAGGTGGCACCAAACTGCTGAGCCACCCAGGCTGCCCTTACTTTTATTTTTCAAAGATTTTTAAAAATTTTTTATTTATTTACACATGAGAGGTACAGAGAGAGGAGCAGAGACACACAAGCAGACAGAGAAGCAGGCTCCCTGTAGGGAGCCGGATGCAGGACTTGATCCTGGGACCCCAGGATCACGCCCTGAGCCAAAGGCTGATGCTCAACTGATGAGCCACCGGGCATCAACCTGGGAAGCATCCTGGGTTGCTTCTTTTTTTATTTTTATTTTTTTTTTAAGATTTTATATACAGAGGCAGAGACATAGGCAGAGGGAGAAGCAGGTTCCCTGTGGGGAGCCTGATATGGGACTTGACCCCAGGATCATGACTTGAGCCAAAGGCAGATGCTCAACCACTAAAAAGATTTATTCATTTTAGAAAACTTGATGAGCAAGCATGGGGAAAAGCAAAGGGGAAGAGAGAAACTTTCATAGCCTCCGTGCTGAGCCCAAAACCCAACATGGGGGCTTGATCTCATGACCCTGAGATTATGACTTAAGGTGAAACTAAGAGTCACCTGGGCCAACCAGGGGCCCCCGCTTGTGTTCCTTTTGACCAGTGTCTTGCCCTATGTCACCAAGACTGGTGTATGTCGGGTCAGAACTGGTCCCAACCCTCTCCTTACAGGCTCTGCCTCCATTTGTTCTCTGTCTACTTACCCCTTAGCCCATCACAGTGATCAGGGTGGGTGGGTTTGGGATACCAAACTGGCTACTTCCCAGCCCTGAGACTTGCTTCTGAGTGTCTCCTTATCCACTTGACATAGAGAACTAAGGTGATGACCTCTCCTCTGCTCTACTGAGAAGCCAGCTTCCTCCTACAGATAGCCCTCCTGGCTGTCACATACCCATTGGAACAGGGGCAGGCATAACCAACAAGAACCTGTCTTGTATTTTCAGTCTAAACTGGAGGCCCGTGAATACCGTGATGCTCAGGAATTTGGTGCTGATGTCCGATTGATGTTCTCCAACTGCTACAAGTACAACCCTCCCGACCATGAGGTGGTGGCCATGGCCCGCAAGCTCCAGGTGAGGCTCTGAGGAAGCTCTGAGCACATCCTGTGATAGACATGCTAGGGTCCTGGGTGAGCCAGGCCTCTATGGGCTTTTGTAGATTTTATTTTTGTCATTTGCTTTGGTATGAGGGCATGTTGTTTTGAATATAGACTCAAGCCAGGATAATGTGTCATTTTACATTGAAATTATTTCATTATAATTAAAGCAGGATAGTTAGTTTGGGCCTTGGGCATCTTGGGTTTTGTTCTGGGGTGTCCCACTGAAAGCCCCCTGCCCCATACCTGCATTTGGTTGCCCTTGGCCAAGAATTCATGTGCTGTACATGGCCCGGTCTGTTCTACAAAACAGACCTATCTCACATTGGTGAATGATACTCTTGTAAGGCAGATGCTTTGACACAGCTGTGAGCTAAAGTAACTGCTCACCTGTAGACATTTCTTCACCAGGGCCTTGAAATCTGTTGCCTTCTAGCTGTGGAGTGGCTGCTTGTAGGCGTTCCATGAGGCCACATCTCCATCTTGGGTGCCCTTGGGGATGGTGGCCCCTGCAGGTTGTTTCAGGCGGCGCACAATGCATGCTGTCAGGTGCACCTGTGGTTGGGAGGGAGGAAGCAGGTGACCACACAACATGTGAACTAACTTCGCTTTGCTTTATTTAAAAAAGGAAAAATATACCCAGAATTCTACAGTGGTTTATCTTTGGGTAGAAAGATCAGGGGTTAAAAATTACAGAGAATTGGGCACCTGGCTGGCTCACTCAGTGGAGCCTGTACCTCTTGACCTCCAGGTCATGAGTCCAAGCCCCATGTTGGGCGTAAAGATTACAAAAGGAAAAAAACCGTAAAAATATGGAGAATAAAGTCTGTATTTAGTACTCTTGCTGTCATTATTATTATTATTTAAAATTACACATCTAATAATTTCCAGCCTTTTCTTCCCAAGACCCTGGGTTGCTTCTGCTCTGAGTCAGAGCAGGCCCTAGGCTGGATCACCTGTCATCACAAGGGGTGGGCACTCTGGCTGGAGCCCAGTGCTGGTTTGCACATCTGTCCCACTCCCACCTGGTGGCTGGGGGCGGGCAGGGGTGGGGTGATCCTCATACTTGGCTTTCCTAGTGGAGTGCTTCCAGGTCAGAAGTGTGGCTTGCTTTTGGCAACCTGTGAGTCTGTACTTCTCAGGGGCCTCCTGCCTCCATGTTCTGTTAGCTCCACAACATTGTCCCAGACTGTCATCATAGTGTTTCCTGCCCCCTCACACTAGAACTGAGGCATGGTCTCCTGTTCCTTTACTTGGCCCCTGTCTGGGTCTGAGGCTGCTTTTGAGTCCAAGGATGTGTCCTGAATCTCTTAGGATAAAAACTTAATACTAGAATAAACCTGGCCACTGTTATTTAAATGGCACACTCTGTCTCAAACATTCTTATAGTTTCTCCTGTTTGTTTTTTGATCTTATTTTCGCTGAGGTTTTCCTTTTTTTCACTTTTCCGGAGGGGGGGGTAGAGCTCTTAATTTGGTGTTCTGCTTTCTTCCCAAAGCTGCTCTTTCACTGTTTACTTCTGCATTTCCCATCCTCAAAGGAACTCAGGCTTTATCATTTTATGGCAATTCTCATACATGGCCACCAGCTGCCGGTGGTGCCCTCAGATCTGTGTCTTCAACCTCCTCTTGTGGAATAGCTTTTGGCCAGATAACTCATACCCTTTATTTTCCCTCATGCAAACAGCTAAAACAAAACAAGTTATCTTCCAGCACCAAGATTGCAATTCTTTTTTTTTTTTTTTTAAGATTTTATTTATTCATGAGAGATACAGAGAGAGACTGTGGGGGAGGGGCAGAGGCAGAGACACAGGCAGAGGGAGAAGCAGGCTCCATGCAGGGAGCCCGACGCGGGACTCAATCCCAGGTCTCCAGGATCAGGCCCTGGGCTGAAGGCGGCGCTAAACTGCTGAGCCACCCAGGTTACCTCCAAGATTGCTATTCTGAACTACTTTACTTTAAAAAGAGAAGAGAAAGAATCCTTTAATATATTCTAGCTCTCCATCTCTAATTTCTCTGCTTCGGTGTTTTGGTTTTTCTTCATTTTTCTCCTTCTGAGAGTTACGTGAACATGGCCCAAACATAAGGTTTCCCCGTACCAAGAGCATTGAGCTATTTTCCCCACATTGTGTAGCCTCTTTCTAAACATTTTTATTCCACATACCAGGCTGGACTGGATGAGGTCCTTGCCCTGAAAAAGGGTCTGTTTCAGGCAAGGGCAGTGCCTGGATGAGCCATTTGGCACAGCGCTCTGCCCCTAGCCTGCTTTTCCCGCCTCAGGGTGTATTGCTGTGTTACTGAAAGTAATGTCACTTCTCCATTATTGTGAGGCAGGTGGAAGTATCGGCTTCAAGTGCAGAGCCAATGTGAAAGGCTTCTTGTCTGGGAGGTAGTTGTGCTTATGGCATTTCAAGCTTTTCCCTCTTCCTCTCTAAGCTTTCCTGAATCAGCATGTTTTAGATGGCTAGATTGTCCAGAGAGGAGGAGCAACAAAGTCCCAGTCCTTGTTTGCCTCTGTAAGAGATGTTAGACCTGCTTCTTCTTAAGTAGACTGTGCCCAAGGACTGGCATTTACATGGAAAGTTATATGGGAAAGGATCCACTTTGCTTTCCTCTTCCAGTCTCTAAATTCCAGGCCTTTAGAAAACTCACATCCCACCACCTGGTAGCCACAGTCACAAAGACAGCCAGGAGTATCTGGGTAATGGGTTTTCTCAGCCGAAGAGTGGCTTGGGCTAAGGCCCATCAACTCACCTGGTGGGCCCAGAGCTGCTGGTGGTACTGTCTTTTGCTCTCTGCTCTATCAGGAAGTGAGGAGTCATTTAGGAAATTTGGTACCGATGTAGATTACCAGAGTCCTATTTCAAAAAAAGGGTGCAAATTCAAGGTTGTATGCAATTATTTTTACAGCAGGAAAAATGAAAATTGCATTGGGATATCCTGCATTAGATCCCAGAGGCAGGAAGCGTTTGAGGTGTGTGTAAATGTGTGTTTCTCTGTGTCCACTCATGGCTGCATCTCCAGCACTTGGCACACGTAGTGGCCTGCCACTGCCTGCATCTTCTCCTCACCACCACCCCCATCCTCTGGGCCTTGATATGCCCAGGTATGGCCAAGCCCCACAGCCACATCTGGACTTGGCCATGCTTGACCTTTTGGCACTCCGGCAGCTGGTTTAACTAGAGGGGAGAGAAAGGTGTGCTTCCCACTAGGCTGAATCTGATGTAGCCTAGAGTAGCTGACCCAGTGAATATTTCTAGTAAGAGGAGACACATGCTCTGAAACCAGTGTGCTTTGCTAATTGATGCTGAGAATTGCAATGTGGGTGGAGGTGATGGCATGCCAGGCAGAGAAGCTCGGTCCACCTGGAGACACTACAGGACCTAGTGTGGGAGGCCTGAGACCTTGTTCCTTTAGAGAATACTCGCTGTTGGTATTTACCACCCCTCAGCGTCTCTGTCCTCCCCACAAGACCTTCGACCTAGGTACATCACATTTGGTTTTGGCATCCCCCCTCTTGCCTGGCTCTACACCCTTTCCACCCACTCTCCACTTGGCCAGCAGGATGCGCAGCTGGATTCATGTGTCACACTTTTGTCTCCTTTTGAGCCATCTTTGCTGGATCTCTGCAGCTGTTGGCATCATGTCCCCCACTCATCCTTAGTTTTCAAGTTTCTCACAAGCTCTCCACCATCCCTTTGCTGTTTCTACCTTAACACTTACACTTTTCAACTATTTGTGTTCGCTCCTTGAAGGCAGGGAGCACATCTTTTGTGTTTACCATTCAACAGACCCCAGTAGGCAGAACCTATCTCAGCCACTCGGGAAGGTTTTTCTGCAATAGCCTTTGACTCACTGGCACTCAGGCCCAAGTACATTTCCCAGGATGTCCTCCACTCGGGCCAGAGCAAGTGGAAAGAGGACAGGTCTTGCAGCTGGGCATGGCCAGGAAGCCAGGAGCCCCAGCTTGTAGGTCCTGCAATGCTTTCCCAGCTAGCCTGCCTGGATTCCTCTCTTGTGCTCTTTTCTGTTTGTGGTCTTAGGACCTTGGCAGGGCAGGGCCCGAGAATACCCTCGGAGTGGAAAGAGGCCCCAGAGTGATGAGTCCTGCTCTGCCCCCCCCACCCCCCACCCCGCATATGCCTTTTTCACAACAGCCACAGTCTGTTGCGGAGGAGCAGGAATGTCCTTGTGGGAAGGATCATGCTATCTGGCAGTTGGCAAGAGAGACTGGGTACATAGATAAGTGGCACAAGGCAGCTTCTACCTGGTAAAGGCTCACCTCCCCGCAACACTTGAGTGCTTGGCTGTACCTGCCACCCTCTTGGTGGGGTCTTGACACATCAGGCACACTCCTCTGGGCAGCAGGCCTGACTTTTCATGGATGCTCTTGTGGGTCTGTTGGTGACCTAGGGCTGCCCATATCCAGGGCACCGTGGGTCCCCTGCTCTGGTGTGAGCCCCTGTCTTCTCTGCAGCCTGGGTAGTGATTGTCTCTGCTCATTCCTTGTGTGTGTGTTTTCCGTTGCTCTCAGAACTGCTCCAGAATTTATTTCTGTATGTATTAAAAAGGTATTACTTACTCTTTCAGTACTTAGTCTAGGAGCAAAACTATTTAGACAGCAAAATCTAGGTTGTCACTTTGCGGAAAGGAGGAGCTGCCTTGGAGGAGGCTGAACTGAGGTGGTCTAGAGGCGAGGGGACAGCACGACAGTTGTGGATGAACCTACTCTATTGCCTGGGTCACCTTTCCAAGCTGCCTTGGGGAGGGGAAACCTGAAGCTATGTTTCCAGAGATAGCAGGAGAGGCTTCTAGGGCCAGCTGTGTTGAGTGTAGTCTGTTTGACACAGCAGCCCTAGAACTTGATTCCACAACCCTCCCATGCGTTGTGGGCTGTGCTGGAGTATTGACTCACACTTGGGGAAGGCCCTTCTCTTGTATAAAACACCATGTTGACTAACTTTTTCCAGGCTTAAAGCAGGTCTTAAAATCATGCTGGGAAGCTAGCTCTCTTCCTTTCACTGCTGTCCTCTGTCATCACTGGATTTATGATCACATTGCCCTCAGGATAGGAAGGGACTTGCCAGCTTGAGGACCGGGCTGCCCAGGCAGAGCTGCTGCCCCCCAAGCTCTATGACCCCACATGGAGTTCCATCAGATTCCTGGGTCTTAAAGAGTTGGAAGACGTCAGTCTCCTGGGATGAGATCCCGTGCTTAATAGCTTTGAGGCCTTTACTTGTGTCACTGGTACCTCACAAGATTTACTCCCTCCTGTAGCCTGTCCTCAACATCCCCCACAGTCACTCCTATAACTTTTACACTTTGCCGGGCATGCCCTGGAGACACCTCAGCCAGTGGCATGGCTCTACTCGGTTACATGCCCCAGAGATGATATGAGGAGTGGGGAGGTAGATTCAGACCCTTGCCCACTGAGCAGAGGCTCTGTTGCCTCACTGGCCATGGGTTCTGTGCCAGGCACACTTAGCACAGGGCAGGCTTTTGCATGTGCTGTTCCCTTTGCCTGGAATGCTCTCTCAAACTGGAGACCCCACCTCCTTGGAGGAGTGTGAACCCCAGGTGAGCAGAGGCTCCTGTTCTGTTCACTGCCGTTTCTTGGTGTCTGGCCCTGGCATACAGAAGGCTTCTTTGGGATGTGCTGAGTAAGTACCAACCTAACAAGAGCCTCAGGGCACTTTTTGTGGGTCCTTCCTTTGACCTGCCATCTGATCTGCATTCCCTAGGTAGATGTCCTTAGTGGGCCCAGCTGCTTCCTGTAACCTGGGCCATACGTACATACCTGGACTGTGTCTCCAGGGAGTAGTGAGTATGTCAGAAACACATTTCTTTTCAAAGTGAAATTTGTGAGGAGTGTTGAAAGAGCTGGCAAGGGGCCTTGGCCCACTCCTTGCCTTAGTGGACAGGTTTGGTTGGGGGTGGTCAGCATCAGCCCAACCCTCTTTGACCCTTCCACTTACCTCCTGTTGAGTCAACCCCAACCACCAAAGAGGCTGTGGTGATGCTGAGCCACATCCTCGGCAGTGCCATCACACATGCCTGGGCACCTGGGAGCCCTCATGGGCATGGCTTCTCCCCCACCAGGATGTGTTTGAGATGCGCTTTGCCAAGATGCCAGATGAGCCAGAGGAGCCTGTGGTGGCTGTGTCCTCCCCGGCGGTGCCACCCCCCACCAAAGTGGTGGCCCCACCCTCATCCAGCGACAGCAGCAGTGATAGCTCCTCAGACAGTGACAGCTCCACTGATGACTCTGAAGAGGAACGAGCCCAACGGCTGGCAGAGCTCCAGGAGCAGGTAAGGACGTGGGCGGCCCCATTCCCAGTCCCCCAGAATCCATAGACTGGGCAGTCTCCACAAGATGGGAGTTCTGAGTTCCAGCAGAAGCAGAATTCCCACTGGTTCCCTTGAGGAATGTGGGGTTTAGGAGTGCTGGCCTCAGGATGCCTAGGTGGCTTAGCGGTTTAGCGCCTGCCTTTGGCCCAGGGCATGATCCTGGAGTCCCTGGATCGAGTCCCACATTGGGCTCCCAGCATGGAGCCTGCTTCTCCCTCTGCCTCTGCCTCTGCCTCTGTCTCTGTCTCTGCCTCTCTCTCTCTCTCTCTCTCTCTCTCTCTCTCTCTGTCTCTTATGAATAAATACATAAAATCTTTTTTTAAAAAAAAGTGTGTAGTCGAAAAATTTGTGTCTAACTTCCCCAAAAAACTTAGCAATAGTCTATTCTAGACCAGAAGCTTTATAACGTAGTAAACTAATACGTATTTTATAGGTTACATGTATTATATACTGTATTCTTTTTTTTTTTTTAAGATTTTATTTATTTATGAGAGATACACAGAGAGGCAGAGGGAGAAGCAGACTCCATGCTGGGAGCCCAGTGTGGACCTTGATCCTGGCACCCCAGGATCATTCCCTGAGCCAAAGGCAGATGCTCAACCACTGAGCTACCCAGGCATCCCTATGTACTGTATTCTTAACAGTAAAGTAAACCATTAACAAAGTTAAAAAATGGTAAGAAATAGAAGATACACTTATAGTACTGTATTGATTGGGGGAAAAATAAAGCCACATGTAAGTAGCCTGCACAGGTCAAGCCTGTGTTGTTCAAGAGTCAGTTGTACATATATGGGGGTGGGGAGACATGGCTGTTCTGCGGGCAGAGGTGAGGCTTCTAGATCCTTTCAGTATCTGGAAGGAGGTGCCTGAACCAGGATGTCCATCTCTCCTATGGCCCTACAAGCCAAACATCAGGACCTAAGTACCTAGCTTCTTAGGGACCCTCTCCTGGATGGCTGTGGAGCTCGGTATTGGTCAGCTTGGGCAGCCCCTCTAGCAAGGAGGGACACTGGCCACCCTTGCAGTCTGTGGCCTGGGTCAACATGAGCACTTTGAAAATCTGGTGAGGCAGCAGGTCACAAGCCTGAGGGCCAGCCCCCTCTCTGGGCTTCCCTTTTCCCTTGCCCCCTGACGCCTAGAGGTCCACACAGAGACCAGGATGATGGGTGTGGGTGTCTTGCTTGTCTGCTCCACAGCTCAAAGCCGTGCACGAGCAGCTTGCAGCCCTCTCCCAGCCCCAGCAGAACAAACCAAAGAAAAAGGAGAAAGACAAAAAAGAAAAGAAAAAAGAAAAGCACAAAAAGAAGGAGGAGGTGGAGGAGAATAAGAAGAGCAAAGCCAAGGAACTTCCTCCCAAAAAGACCAAGAAAAATAACAGCAGCAACAGCAATGCGAGGTCTGTGCCTGCCCTAGTCTGCCCTGGGTGGGGACCCCTGCCTGCCACGGTGGGTGGGGAGGCTTGCATCTCTACCCTTTCCTCTGGGATGGATCTTTGCTCTCCTGTTTTTGGAAAGGGAGGGAGGATAGTAGGTAGCACAGAGCAGGAGGTGAGGACAGGGCATGGTTTGCAGCCTGTCTCCAGTGAGTGCTCCCGAGAAGGTGCCAGCCTCCCCTGTGTTGCAGTGAAGGTCCTCTTGGTGGGAGTGTGGAAGCCATCCACCTAGCCCCAAATGGAGGAATGGGTGCCTAGCTTTCCCAGGACACTGTTCCTCACAGTGTCTGCATTGTCCCTTCATAGCAAGAAGGAGCCAGCGCCCATGAAGAGCAAGCCCCCTCCTGCATATGAGTCAGAGGAGGAGGACAAGTGCAAGCCCATGTCATATGAGGAGAAGCGGCAGCTCAGCCTGGACATCAACAAGCTCCCTGGCGAGAAGCTGGGCCGTGTGGTGCACATTATCCAGTCTCGGGAGCCCTCCCTCAAGAATTCCAATCCTGATGAGATCGAGATCGACTTTGAGACTCTAAAGCCGTCCACCCTGCGAGAACTGGAGCGCTATGTAACCTCTTGTTTGCGGAAGAAAAGGAAACCTCAAGGTGCCCTTGGGTCCCCCAGGGGCAGGGTGTATTCTCAGCCCTGGCCGCCCTGGCCGCCCTGGCCGCCCTGGCCGCCCTGGCCGCCCTGGCCGCCCTGGCCTTGAGAGAGGAGGCTAGCCACAGTTTACTTTTGCCTTCCACACGTGGTCCTCTCCCTGTGCAGACTGTTTTTCCAATTACAAAAGCTATCTTTGGCAAAGAAATCTCTGCGTGGGGGTGTGTGTGACATCCCTCCAGACCCTGGGCTATGGGTTCCATTCTTGGCCTCCTGGCTGGTACCTACCTGGGGCCCCAGCCTTGCGGTGTTCTGAGCAGCCCTGTTCTTACCTTGCCTCTGAGCCTCCCTCAAAGCCAGCCACTCCCACCCTGCCTTCACCTCTTTGCAAGGAGGGTAGGGGATGGGGTTGGGGGCTAGAGGAAGGGTGGTAGGGCAGCACTATCCCTGCCTGCTGTTCTGTAGTTCCACACAGCCCCCTCCATGACAGTCTGCCAAGCACCTCTTTCCTATTAGAAATGCCTTGTCACAGCTTTTGTCTTAAGACCAGTAGGACTTAGGATCCACATCAGATGTGGTGCATAATCTCTTTCCCAGCCCGGACTGCCTCCTGGGGTTCTCAGGCACCTCCCTGGGGTGCTGGACAGTGACGCTATGCCCTCGGTCTATACACCAAGGTCCTAGGAGACTCCCAGGGCTCTTTCATGTCTTGCTTTTTGTCTGCTGTCATGTCCCCTTTGGGTCCCCTTCACCCACTGTCTGAGAAGTAGCTAAGGGAGGCCCAGCCTAGCAGTCTCTCGTGTTAGGGAATTCCCTCCTGCTTTGTCTTGTACTTTGAGGAACCCAACACAGGGTATTCTGCAGAATCAGAGGGGCTTTGAAATTCTGTTATTTAGCCAAGTTTGGGCTGGTGTATAGTAGGCTAGCAGCTTACCACCGGGAAGTGTGAGACTGGAAGGGACTCTTAGCAGCAGCAGCCGCCACCCTCTGGCTCACAAGACACCAACTCTCTGCTGGCCTTTCTTACAGGCTGTTGGGATGTGTGCATGGCTAACAGCAGCCTCCTAGGTCAGTGCCCTACCTGACTCAGTCCCTGTTGCTTTTTATTACAGCTGAGAAAGTTGACGTGATTGCTGGCTCCTCAAAGATGAAGGGCTTCTCGTCTTCAGAGTCGGAGAGCACCAGCGAGTCCAGCTCCTCTGACAGCGAAGACTCTGAAACAGGTTAGGTGTCCTCCTTCGTGTTTCATTGCATTCCTGACTGTGTTAGGCTTAGTCATATGTCTGGGCTGCTAGAGACCAGAACCTTCTGGGCCCTCTCATCTTAGAGGGCTGCTGTGGTAACCCTCCACATGGGGCAGTGGGTGACCCTGTATCCTGAGGAGGAGTTGCTCAGGGTATTGACAGTGCATAATACAGGGGGAGGAGAAGACTTTGGGTTTGGGGGCCCAGCTGGTATCATTGATCTTAGTGTGATCCTGCTCAGTCTTATGGTCTTCCCGATGTCACAGTGGCATGCAGCATGGCTGTTTGAGGTGATACGCTTTTTACCAGGTGTGGAGCAGTCTGCTTCCGGCTCTGCTGTCACCCCGCCCAGGCTCACGGCATTGCCATTCTTACCGGAGGGTGCTCATAGCTACATTGGCTGCTCCTAACTGTGCATGCACTTGGACCAGCGTGTCCTACGACCTCTAATGGTTCCCCTCTCCAGCTCCGTGGACCTGCATGTGTTTCCCTTGGTGCCCCAGCAGAGCCCACTGCCCACCAGACAGCAGCTTCAGTGTGGGGGATGGGAGCAAGTAAGGGCAGGTGGAGATGTTCAGAGCTGCGTGGTGGTAGGTAGGGATTGTGCATTCCTCCAGATGCATGCTCTTCTGATTATTCTTGGGGAGCAGGCAGATGCTCACACTGGTCTGGAGGAGAGGCTAGGGAAGGAGCCTGGCAAGCAGCCTGGCGCTGTGAGATGGAGCTGGCCATGTATGTCTGGGTTGCCCCTGGGCAGGTCTAGCTCCATCAGCTGAGCAGACCATCTACAGACCACTGGGGAACCAGCTCCTGGGGCCTTAGGCATGCACCTCCAGGCAGGCTGTGGTATGTGTATCCACAGTGGAAAATGTGTTTGGGCAAAGACCCCTGGTATTTTCTTTCATAGACCTTTCTCATCTCGGGCATTTTATTCTGATTGGAAATAAATAAATAATAAACCCCACTTAATCAGTTCATGAAAGTAATGTGATCTGATTGTGCCAAGGAAGTGTGAGTGAGGATCACTCACAGCAGCTGAGTGATCCCACTCCAAGGTGTTTGCACACACAGGTCCTCGGGTGAGCTCAGCCTGCATCTGTTCAGGGAAGCAGAGGACGACAAGAGGGCTTGTCACTGGGCCTTGTCACTCTTCCTCTCTGCTTTCACAGTAAAGGGCACCAGGCTTCCCTAGTGGGTAGGAGGCTTACCTTGGGGTGGGTTAAGAGCTTCTCCAGGACTCCAAATTCTATGGACCACCTCATTTCCAGTGGGCTCAAATGAGATTCATTAAGCTATATTCTGTATTTATTGATCTCCACTGTATGCAGAGACTGCTATGGGCAGTTTGCTGTCCTGTCTCCATCCCTTGCCTTTTTTCTTCCTTACCAACCCCCTCCCCAATAGTTATTCAGTCTATCAACCAGCAGGGGGCGCCACACCCCATGCTTGTTTGGAAGGGCTTGGCGCTGAGCCAGGGCCCACTGCCCTCAGCAGGATGAATGGCGATATTCTTGGGCTCAATTAGCATTCCTGGTGGCCACTGACTTCTCACTTTCGGTGCCAGCCACGCCTTGGGTTTTCCTTTGCTCTGGGCTTTGCCTTTGCTCTGGGCTTTTGCACCTCCTGCAGTTCCTAGCAGGCTGCTCCTACTAGGGGTTTCACAGCCTTTTCTCCTCTAAGGCCAAAAGAAAACCCCAAAGATTGGAATTGGCAGGGGACCTGATTGTTACAGTGCAGTTTGACTGAGGGTAGGTTGCTTTGACCCAGACGTGGCACCTGATCATCAGGTCCTGATTGTGAGTCTTTAACTGTGGCCTTCATCCCTGATCCCCAAGCTCTTCTTTGGGGTATGTTTGCTTGAGGAGGGGTTTCTCTTGGGCTCTTGAGTGCCGTGCACCCACCTCCTCCTGTGTGCCGTGGGGTAGCTGTGACGGCATCTCCAGCAGCTCTTGACTGCTGAGATTATTTTTCCCTTTTTGTCCCCCCTTTGAAAGAAATGGAAAGATTGTGCAACAAGTAATCTGAGATTCCTGGGAACAGCTGTCTGGGCGGGAAGGAGGGTGAGATTTACAGTCTCTGAGCCGCCGGCCTGCAGGCTCCCAGGCTCCAGCAATCCGGCCCCGGTGGCTTGCTCGGCTGCTTCCGGCTCATCCCTCTTTCCAGGCACCCTCCCCACCTTGAGTCTTGTGAGGCTCCCATTTGTCTTCAAAGTCTTGGCTTTTCCTTTGCCATATATGTGCACTGGGGAGCTCTGTTGTGGGTTGACTGGGTGCTGCTATTCTCAGGAGAGAACCACCCTGTGGGTTTGTGCCCTGGGGCTCCGACCCTGTCTCCCCCAAAGTGGGAGCTTGCACTTCTGAGCCACTGAATGCAGCTATCCCCCACCCCATCCTACACATGCTTCCAGGGCAGCTCCTCCAGCAGCTGCTCAAGCTGGGTCCCTGGAGCTAGGCAACCCTGATGTCTGTGACCAGTGGGGAGAGGGCAGGGAGGGGGACACTGAAGGTATTTCATTTGGTCTTTGGGGGCTTGTTTTGCCCTCCTTGTTCTTGTGTTTCCATTTGGACTGGAGCCGAAATTCCTGAAAGAGCCTATTTTTGTCACTTGTGCTAAGGGTTATTTCTGCTGACAGGGCCCAGATATGAATCACCAAAAGAAACCAAACAGAGGCACAAAATTGGGGGTTGGTGGTGGTGTGAAGGTTGCATAGGTCCCTCATGACCGGTCTTCATAGATAAGGATGCTGTGGGCTCCTCAGGGCACGGGGCTGGTCTGTGGGGCCAAGCTGTAGTTAGGGAGGTGGTGTGCCCACAGATAGGGATTGGGGGATGGAGAGATGAGGTGGGGTGGACTTCCCTAGTTCAGTTCCCAGGCCACCATGTGTTATGTGTCCTATCTCCTCCCCTGCCAGCCCAGAAGCATGCTGTTGGCCAGTCCCACCACATCCTCTGAACCCAGCTATTACTTGGGTTGTGGTCTTTTGTTGAGCTTCAATTCTGGCTCAAGTCTTAATCTGCTTCAGGGTTCAGTACTGAGACAGGACAGGCAATACAAATGCCACTTTCTTACTTGCCCCTAAGGCATTTGTAGACCTTGGCTGGGCAAGCCAGAGGTGAGTGCCCTAGTTCTCCCTTTTCCATGGCCATCCCAGGTGGGCTGTGGACAGAATTGTGGCCTCCCGATCTCCTCTCTGGCTCATGGAGCCAGGAAGGATGTCCTAGGACTCTGTCCAGCTTTCTGTTCTATCACATTGTTGATGATGGACTCTTCCTACATGCTATATCTATGGGTCTTTCTGGGCAGAGTGGACATAAAATTCATGTCCCTCTTAGGAGCACATACTCCTACCCCAGCTACCTGGAATGGGACGGGTTCGGTTCGGGCAGGGCTCTTGGATTTGGGCTGGTCTTCTAGTTGCAGTGGGAGCACACACCAGTTATTTTCGTCTCCTTGTTTCCTTTTCCCAGGATTGGAGCATGTGGGTGTTTCTTAATAGCTCCAGGGGAAAAAGGAATGCTTGATGTTTTGGAAAGATTTGAGCCGGAAAGTGCAGACAGAGGCCATGAGGCGTTCTTCCCAGACAACCAGCCTCGGCTTCCGACCCCTGGGGTCTTTGAGGGACTGGATCCCAGTCCCATCTTGGGGCCCAGTGCTGCCCTCTCCAAGGGTGTGATGCTCGCTCTTGGGAAAAGGGAAAGGGGGTGGGGGAAAGGAAGAGACCTGGAAGTTGGAACTGTAGCTGGTCTGCCTGTACTGTCAGGTGACCCCTCATACACCCACATGCAGGGGTTGCAGCTGGAAGGACTTTGGGGCTTCGTGGGCGAGGATGAGCCTTGTGGAATGTGTCTTAAATGATGGGCTGGCCGGTGGGTGGGTTTTTCCCACGCGCACACTTGAACATGGGAGTGTGTTGGTTGCATCCATGACTAGCAGAGGCATCTGCTCTGCTGTGTGGGTGGGAACATGCCCCACACCCCTCTCTGGTCAAGGGGAAACACACTTGATGCCCTGAGAAAAGAAGAATAGCTTTGCTCCTCGGCCTGTCTTCATTTTTTTTTTTTCTCCTCTCCTTGACCGTGTGTGTAATTGCTTCCTCTTTTTATGACTTCTTTGTTTGTTGTTGTTCCTTGGGGTTTTTAGGAATCAGAAATGAGGCTGTTAGAGGCTCCTGTACTCCAGATAGGGTTTTCCTATCTCTACCCAGGGCCTGAGAAAGAGCTGGCATCACCTTCTTGATGTAGACAGTATACAGAAAAGCAGGTCCAGAGGGGATGGGCTCAGAGTTAGGGGGGGTGCCTGATGGTCATGGCACACCTGGCTAGTCTTCAGGAGTGATGGCAAGTAGGGCAGGCAAGGGTGCCTCTCAGATTCAAAAACCAGTAAAGGAAATGCCAGCCTGTGCTCAGGGTACCCATAGAACTTGTTACTGGAAGCAGTTGTTCTGTGTAGAAGCATAAACAAGGCTCTGGGTGATTTTGGAGATGTCCACATGTGCTGGAACTGTGGCCTTTGTAAAAGGGAAGGTGGGTCCATCGCCGACAGTAGCTGGCCAGGCAGGGGGCAGGGCTCTTAGGCTCCGGCGCCGTTCTCTCGTGCCCTGTCAGCAGGGCACAGGGAGGCTGGCTCGGTCTGTGGTTCTTCTGTTCTTGTGACTTGAACGGTACATTCCACACCATTTCTCTCACACTGGTTTCTCTCTCCCTCTATGTAGGTCCTGCCTAATCATTGGACACGGACTCTTAATAAAACGGTCTTCAGTTCCAGATTCCTTCCCAGCAAGCTATAGCTTAAGTCCATTTTCTTCTGTGAAAGGGACAGGACTCCATCAAGTTATGGAATTCCTCAGAGCCCTGGGCCTGTCCCCCGGGGTGGATTAGTCATGTCCAGCAGTACACGCCTAGTCCCGCCTCTGGGAAGGCTGCCTGCTTGGCTGGCCACCCGGGCCTCCTGTGTAAAGACTGCCTGGCTGTCCTGCCCAGCCTCCCTGGTCGCCTGGGGTCTTCTGGGTGGGTGGCATCTCCCAGTGGGTAATGACAATCCGCCCTGCACACACATACATGTGGTGCTGCTCTGTGTGCAAGGTCCCATCACAAGTATGTTTTCTCTCTTCATCCCTCCCTCTTTTTCTGGATCCTAACTGCTTTCCTCCTGGACCTTAAAATGACGTTAGCCCAGAGAAAGTCTCTCAGCCTAAGGAAGAATACTCTAATATCTAGAGCTTTCCCCCAGTGAGGAGCAGGGGCCTCAGGGGCAAGCATAGTGGGGCCTGAAAGCTCATGGGGCTGTCCCTCAGCATGTCCTGTCTGTGGTGGCTAGTGAGGCTCCATCAGCTATCAGCTAGAGGCTGACCCCAGCTACGGCTGACTCCCAGACCCCTGGAGTCTTCCTTCTGTTTTCATTGTTCCATTGTTGCCTGTTGGGCATTTTCCCAACTTTTTTGGCCTCTTTGCCTAAAGTCATAGAGGGGAAAGTACCTCTTGGGCTGCCTCCCTGTCCCAAGTAATTAAAAGCAGGCTGCAGTGGGCAAGAGCTGCTTTCAGGAAGGTCACTGGTGAGGGTCACTCGAGGAGGAAGAACCACCATGTAGCCAGATGACCTAGCCCCTTGAGTCCATGATTCCTGTCCCCAGTGGGGTAGGGCAATGGGCTAGTGGATGAGAGAGGGTTTTCAGAGTCAGAGCACTGGACCAGTCCATAGTGAGGCTATCAGAGCCCTTGGGGCCTACTCCATGCACATCTCTGTGGGTTGTTGCCAGTGCAAGCACCCTCCCATTCTTCAGTGCCCTAAAATAATGACAGCCTCCCAGGGGTGGGGCAGGCCAGGGTGGCCGCATCATCCAAGCCCTCTGAGAGTCACTGAAAAGGATTTTTTTTGCTCTAAAAATAAATATCGGCCCTTTTTTGGTCATGAATCCAGCATTTCAGCAGAAAACTGCCTGATGAAATGTCCCCTAAGGAACAGCATCTGTGTTTTAGGGAGCGCTTTTTTTTGCCCCTTCCTTTTTAAAGTATAGTTTGTGTGTACTTCTTCGAGGCTTATAGCAGTTCCTTGGCATCCTGGAGCCTGCCTTCTGGAGCTGGAAGCAAGTTTGAGGAGGTGTAGTTCACCGTCAACAGGCCCTCAGGCACTGGCCGCCTCCTGTGCAGAAACCCTGGGACCCTTCTCTGGGACTTTGGGTTCTAGATCCAGCCCATCCAGAGCCTCCAGGGCCCTGCATTGATGCTTGCAAGTTCCTGGGCTGCGCTCTGATTCTCTGGCCAGTCGACTTCCAGTCAGGCCCCATTTGCCAGACAGACTATTTTGAGCTGCCCTTTGGCCTGTGCCTGATGTGTTCCCAGTGTAGCTTGGCCTGGCTGGAGCCAGGGGGCTTCATGCCCGGAGATTCCCACAGGACAGTTGGGAAGCTGTTGGCATTGTCTTTCTGGGAAGATTCTGCTGTCTTGGAACAAATGGCAGCCTGGATTCCCACAGTGTTGGCCTGTGTGCTGCTCCACCCCTTCCCATACTCGTGCACACCAGCTATAGTCACAGGCCAGCTCTCCTGCATGCTCTTTGCACCCTTGTTCTCTGGAGATCCTGGCCTCCTTGCCCATGGGGCTTCCATCTATCAGAGAACTTGGTCTTTAGACTTGAGCTGTCACCTGTCCCCAGTGCCCCAGGAATAGAGCAGAGGGAGCAGAACCCACTCACTCCTTCCTGGTAGCCTCCTGTGTGCAGACAGGGAAACGCCAACTGGGCCTTGACACAACCAGCCAGCCTGCAGGGCCTAAGGAGTTGCTATAGGAGGGGTAGCCTGGGCCTCCGCTGGTGCCAAGGCTCCCCCAGTCAGTTGAGTTGAGGGACTCTGTGCCTCTGCCCTGCCCTTACCCTCAATCCTGTCTCCTTCCCTTGAGTTGGGGGTGGGGGACGGGAGAAATCAGTGTTTTAACCAGATTTTACAAAAACGTTTTAATTCTTTGTACAATTACCATCCTATGTAAAGATGAAATTTGTGTTGAGTTCAAGATTTTCATGGAATAAAGATCACACAGTACTTGAGGCCATCTTCATGTAACCCTTTCTAGAGAGTTTTGTGTGGGGTGTCTTGGGGCTGGTGTGTTGTGAAGCTGTGCACTTCTGTCTTGTCTTCCTACCAGTAACTCCAACAGGAGGCTTGGGCCACGTGAGCCGGATGCAGCTGTCCCAAACAGGTTCTGGCACCCCTCGGTCCTCAGCACCGGCCCCCTTAGTGTCCTCTGGTCCTGGAGGTCTGCCCTATACCTCCCACTGGTTCTCCTACTCTAGGCCTGACCGCTTCCCCACCAGCACTTCCTCACGAAGACCTGGACCTGGGACACTTTCCAAGGCAGCCAAGACCTGCTCTCTGGAATTCCTGGGACCCCACTGCATTTTGTTCCCCCAAGTGCTCCTGTGGGCCTCTCTGCTCACGGCCTGCGGGGTGATAGCAAAGGTTCAGAGCCACCATCCCTCCTTTATGAAGGAAAAAAACAGTGCTTCCCCTGGGGCCATCAGATGACAGGCCACTCCAGCCCTCTCCCCACAACACAGAGTCTTCTGGTCAGACTTTACCCATTTGGCCCCTTTCTCACCCCAGCTTCCAACCCCCCGGCCTCCCAAAGGCCTGCCCAGTGTGTGATCACCTGTTCCAGCTTCCGTCGGTGCCCATCCTGGAGAGGACCCCCGGCACCTTCCTCCTGCACCCTTTGGCTCAGTGGCCTCTACATACCATGCTCTTCCCCAGTGCACACAGGGTCCCTTTGATCCTGGGCCTCATTCTCTGGTTCAGTGTGCCTCCTTTACCCTGCAGCTGCCAGCCCCATGGCCCTAATCATGCAGGTCACTCAAACTGTCCCTTTATTTATGTCCCTCCCACAAGAGTGTTCCTCTCACCTGGTTTCCTGCTGTGACCCAAAGAGCCCTGATCCCTCTATCCTGGCATCTCCAGTGTCCAGGTTTGAGGCTGGTCATGTGGTTCCCGCCGTGTCCCAGATGTCCCTGGTTGCTGCCATTTGTATGAGGACCTGTGTCTGTAGCTGCTGAGGTCTATGTCACACTGTCTTGTCTCTTGCATGGAGTGGTGAGCTCTTACAGGGCACGAGGTCCTCCCTCATCCCTTCTGGTAGTGTACCCTAGGCCTGGTGCCTCACAGAAGCTTAGCACGGCCCTCCATGAAGCAGCTGCAAGTGGAGGTAGTAAAGCATGTGTCCTCCCAACACCAGCAAGAGCCAGCACCCTGGCAAGGAACTCAGGGGGTGCCAGGCAAAGCCATGAAGTGTCTCTTGTTGACAGGAATTGGAAAGGCACCGTGGGTCCCATCTCCTACTTGGTGTCTTCATCATTTCCTAGCCCATAAATCCTGACTGGGCCTCCTCTCCCTCTCTGGGGTTTGCACACCAGCAATTCTTGGGGAGGGCCAAACAGCTGCCAAAGGATCCTTAGCATAAATCTGTGGAGTGGGTGCAAAGGTGGGTGTATGCCGTGGCTTCTGCACCTCCCTTGCAGGGGCAGGCCCACCCTGGATAAGTGTACACGGTGGTGGTGGCAGCGGCGGCCAGCTGCTAGCCTCGAGGGACCTGGACGCACACTGCAGGGAAAGCCCCGGCAGCATACTGTGTCCCAGCACGGGGACTTCCCTGAGGCCACTTTCCTACACAGAAGGGGATGTTGCTTGGTGCCCTCCCTTTGCTGGCTGTGGTAGTGAGCACCTTCCCCAAGTCTCCTCCTAGTCATTCCTGGGAGGCCAGCCTGTTTGCTCCCGCCCACCTCTCAAGTGCTCACTCTGCGGACAGCCCTGTCGGCATGGGCCAACACCACCACTCTGTGCATCTCTGCTTCCTCTGGGAGGATGGGAAGGAGCCAGCATAGAGGGCGATGCAGTTGGAGATTGCCATGTTGTTACTCTAGCTCTATGACAAGAGGCAAGTCCCTTAATTTCTCTGAGCCTCATTTGCTTGATCCATCAAACGAATTTGATCATTTCGAATGTCACGATTTTTCCACGGCAAAGCAGGTGACACTTGGGTCACCGTGATGGTGTCTGAACAGCAAGTAGGGGGAGACACTGGGCAGGAGGGTCTCCGTAGCTCAGCTCCCTGTGTACCCAGGTGTCATCCTTTAAGCGAGCCAGCTGGTGGTCTGGGAATTGGCGGGGAGGCTTTTCAGACATGGCCCCCACTAGGAAAAGCAACAGGCCAATGGGTAGGTGCCCCCCCACACACACGCCTTTCCCTTCCCCATGACTGACTCCCCTCCCAGGCAGAACCCAGCTACCCTCAGTCTCACCGTCACTGGCCCTTCTCCTGAACTTACCCTGTTTTCTCCTTGCTCTGCCTCCGAGGACAGCTCACACAGTCCTGTCCCCCCAGAGCCTCACCACCTTCTCTTTCCCTCTGCAGAGATGGCTCCGAAGTCAAAAAAGAAGGGGCACCCCGGGAGGGAGCAGAAGAAGGTACGTGGTCTCAGGGGTGTCTTCCAGCAGGTGAGCGTTGGCCACCTGCCCTTGTGGGCCCCGAGGGTACCCAGGTGTGTGCCGCCGGCCTGACGTCAGCCTGTCTGTCTGCAGCACCATCACCACCATCATCAGCAGATGCAGCAGGCCCCGGCCCCCGTGCCCCAGCAGCCCCCGCCGCCTCCCCAGCAGCCCCCGCCGCCTCCACCTCCACAGCAGCAGCAGCAGCAGCAGGCCCCGCCCCCGCCGCCCCCGCCTTCCATACCACCACAGGCAGCCCCCACGATGAAGTCCTCGCCTCCGCCCTTCATCGCCGCCCAGGTGCCCGTCCTGGAGCCCCAGCTCCCAGGCAGCGTCTTCGACCCCATCGGCCACTTCACCCAGCCCATCCTGCACCTGCCGCAGCCTGAGCTGCCCCCCCACCTGCCCCAGCCGCCCGAGCACAGCACTCCACCTCATCTCAACCAGCACTCGGTGGTCTCTCCTCCAGGTGAGCTGCAGCCACACCTGCCGAGGTGCAGGGAGGCCCTCTTCCCATCCTGCTTTTTTACTGTGACTAGGCACTCTGGGCAACCTGTGGATCTCCCTCCCACCCCACCCCCATAGTTGTCTTGCCTCCAAGAGGAGCTTGGTAGCTTCTCTGAGCTGTTAAGGAAATCATGAGCCACTGAGGCACAAGCTCTGCATAGAGTTACTGCTTTGATATGGAAGATACCGACTCATTTCTTTTGCTGGACTAGGCATTGTGTGAGATAGAAAAAAGATGTGCGCCCCTTCCCCTCCCCCTGCACCGCCACAGCTCCCAATTGGGAATGGAGATGCTGGGACACGCATGCACACACACACACACCCCACCCACAGACACCCCTGGGGAATTCAAGGAAGGCCTCCTCTGAGACCTGAAGGGCAAGTGTGAAAATAGGGAGCAGCTGAAGGGAAGGGGAAGAAGGTCGGGGGTACAGGGTGCAGAATGGCAGTGGTGAAGGAACACAATTTTGTGGACCTCTCTGGAAACTTCTTATTCTGGAGTTTGTGGGAACCCAAGGAGGGTGGGGCGAGATGGCTAGCTGGAGGGAAACTGGCAGGAGGAGGTCACGATGGAGCAGAAAGGCCGGGCTGGGGGCCATGGGGTGCAGAAGCTGTGAGCCTCACTGCCACGCTGTCCTGTCCTTCCAGCTTTGCACAACGCGCTGCCCCAGCAGCCATCGCGGCCCAGCAACCGAGCCGCCGCCCTGCCCCCCAAGCCCGCCCGGCCCCCGGCCGTGTCACCTGCCCTGGCCCAGCCACCCCTTCTTCCACAGCCCCCCATGGCTCAGCCCCCCCAAGTGCTATTGCAGGAGGACGAAGAGCCACCCGCCCCGCCCCTCACCTCTATGCAGATGCAGCTCTACCTGCAGCAGCTGCAGAAGGTGCAGCCCCCCACACCACTACTCCCTTCCGTGAAGGTGCAGTCCCAGCCCCCGCCCCCTCTGCCCCCCCCACCTCACCCCTCTGTGCAGCAGCAGCTACAGCAACAGCCACCGCCGCCACCCCCCCAGCCACAGCCGCCACCCCAGCAGCAGCACCAGCCCCCGCCACGGCCTGTGCACATGCAGCCCATGCAGTTCCCTACCCACATCCAGCAGCCCCCGCCGCCCCCGGGCCAGCAGCCCCCGCACCCGCCCCCGGGCCAGCAGCCGCCGCCGCCACAGCCCGCCAAGCCTCAGCAGGTCATCCAGCATCACCCTTCACCCCGGCACCACAAGTCGGACCCCTATTCTACCGGTAAGTTGACTCTTGCTCCTGGGTTCTGGGGAGGTTGGTGCTGGGCCTAGAGTTTTGTATGTAAGAAGCCAGGCTGGTCAGCTCATGCTCCAGGCTGAGGTGGGCCCAGAGCTCACCTGGTTGCAGAGGTGGCTGAAAGGGGGTGTTGGTGCTTCATGTAGCATTATCTGGGGTCTGTCTTGGCTTGCAATCTGAAATGTCAGGGAACAAGGTTCCCACTGATCCTTTTCTTAGAACTCACAAGTATTACAGTACATTGTGATCCTGCTAGGTGAGGAAGCCAGGAGCCCAGGGAGGCATCTAATCCTTTTCTGGAAGTCAGACCAGGCTTCCTGGAGGCGGTGATCAGAGGGTGAGCCAGAGCTAATTTAATAAACAGGGTGGGGAGTGACGTCCAGGCAGAGCTAGGGGCAGGCCTGGGCAGCGCATAGCGATCAGGTGGGGGGTTGGGGGGATGGGTATTTGAGAACCTGTAGGGATAGGTGCTCTGTTCTCAGCCAGGCTCGCCTGCTGGAGTCAGGGTCTCATGGGAAAGAATTGGGCTAAAGATGAAAGGTAGGTTGGGGTACATCTGGGAGCCGTTTCCTGTTCCCCTGTTCTGTCTCCAAACTGATCCAGGCTGCCCTTTTTCTATTGACAGCACTGATTGGGCCATACCCTCTTGCCTTTCTTAGCACTTGTTTTCTGAGTATCTGTGACCAAAACATGCTGGCTGGCCTCAGTGAGGGAATTGTTCCAGTCAGTGCCTCGTGGTGTGGTGATGGTGACATGTGAGGGTTGGGGTTGAGGCTCCTGGACTTGGCAGCACAGACCATGTATCCTGGCTAGGGAGCGCAGGTGCTGCCTGCAAATTGAACAACAAGGCTGTTGATCTTTGACTGTGAATGCTCTGAAACCTAGCAAAAGCTGCTGGGTGCCAAATGGATCATCGGATGCTCTGAGCCAAGAACAGCTGGCTGCCCTCCCTGGGAAAAGCTGGTGCTGGTCCTGGTCCCAGCAGCTGTGCAGCTGTGCCTGTTTTCACCCTTGAGGAAGGCCAGGCTTCTCGGGGGGTTGGGGGGGGGGGGACAGTGATGGATGGTCAGGACAGGAGATGGCTTCAGTAGAGCTAGTACTCCGGGTGGCACGTGTTCCTCTAGCCACCTATACTGTGAGTCCCCAGGCCTGCCTTCACTGAGCCACTGTGGCCTGGGATGGGTCACAGGAAACGGCTTAGGCTAGAGTGCAGCTGGGAACTTTGAGCCAAAAGGAGGTGCATCCCTGGGCACCTGGGCCATTGCAGGCACGACCCCTAAGCCACTTTGCCTCCCCTCAAGCTACTGGTGGGTGAAGCTGTTGGCAGGCGGGTGATAACCTACGAATCAGAGACCCAAGGATCTGCCTTCACCCAGGTCAAGCCTCAGCGGGTGCTGCTTGAGGGAGCCACCCGAGACAGGAGACTGTCACAGCCATGTGCCTGCAGATCCGTAGGCCTGGACTGGGGCTCCTAACACCAGGGCTGGCAGCCAAGGTGCAGGACATGGGCTGGTCCTCGCCACCATGTTGTCTCTGAGCAGCTGTTCTGCTTCTCTGGGGTTAGGGGCGAGTTCTGGCTCTAGAGAGAAGGGCAGGGAGGGTCCACTGTACCTGGGGCATTGTGGTTTATGCCAGGCCCAGGGGACTGGTGAAGGGCCAAGGGTGTTGGTGTCTCTGCTGGCAGACAGCAGTTGGAATCCGGCCTGGAAGAGGTCAGTGGAAGGGCCTGCCTGCAGAGCTTGGGTTAGGTGGTTCAGTGCAAGGCACAGGGCAGGACCAGGAGCAAGGACAATGCAGAGAGGTGGCCTTATTTTGTGGACAGCTGTGACCTGTCCCGTGCTGGAGCTGGCTAGAACCTGTCAGGGATTCAAGCAGGAGGATGTCTCCATGCCACAGTAGGCAGAAGAATGGAAGGCAGGACTTGGGGACTGTGAGCTAGGGCTGTTTTCTCACCAGTGAGGCTGAGGTGTCAGACTTCAGTGATTTGCTGGAGCTTCCCAGGCTCCTGCCTTGTGGCTGCCTAGATCTCCACCCCCCACCCCACCTCCGCCCGCCTTTGGTTTGAGGAGGGTGGGTGGGCTGGCCCAGTTCCTGTAAGAGCCACAAGCCGAGGACCTGTTCTGCCAGCTTGCTGTGGGGCAGGCCAGTTCTGCCTCTCCCTTCTGTGTGGGGCTTGCAGGCTGAGCTGTGTGGGGAGGGTCTCCTGGGGCCCTGGCCCGAGTCCCAAAGCGTTCATCCACGCAGGCTAGGAGGGACATAGAGGGACAGCTGGGAGCCCGGGCTGTCTGAGGTGACAGGTGTTCCTTGTATTTAACCCACACTGTGCCACAGAAACATTGGAGAAATTTTAAAAAGTATTCAGGCCCAGACCTTACCTGTGACCAAATACATCGGGATCTACACCTCTCAGAGATTCCTGATGATTCTGACACACAGGGGCATCAGACACCAGGACTCAGCTCATGACTCCACGAAGCCCTGCTGTACCCTGAGCTAGGGGCCTCAGGTGCCCAGGGCTCAGCCACTGGGTCTCCCCCCAGCTTAGGGTGGTGCCTGGCCAGACTCAGGCCAGTGGCCTCCACATGAATTCTTGCTGACGTACTCCTTGTCCCCTTTCCTAGGTCACCTCCGAGAAGCCCCCTCCCCGCTTATGATACATTCCCCCCAGATGCCACCGTTCCAGAGCCTGACTCACCAGTCGCCACCCCAGCAAAATGTTCAGCCTAAGAAGCAGGTAAAGGGCAGGGCTGGGCCATAGCCCCCAGGGCCTGGTGCGGGTAGATGCCAGAGGCACCTGCCTGCATCACCGGCCACCATCCCTGTGCAATCCCAGGAGATGCGTGCGGCCTCCGTGGTCCAGCCCCAGCCCCTGGTGGTGGTGAAGGAGGAGAAGATCCACTCACCCATCATTCGCAGCGAGCCTTTCAGCCCCTCACTGCGGCCAGAGCCCCCTAAACACCCAGAGAGCATCAAGGCGCCTGTTCACCTGCCCCAACGTGAGTGCCCTCTCTGCCCCCGGTCTGCTGTGGACGGGAGCTTTCTGTGGACTGGTTGATTCTGCCCCGCTAGGCTTGAGGGCAGAGGGGAATGGGCCCTGGCCCTGGCCCACAAGCTGTTTGTGTTCCAGGGCCCGAGATGAAGCCTGTGGACGTCGGGAGGCCTGTGATCAGGCCCCCTGAGCAGAACGCACCCCCACCAGGGGCCCCTGACAAGGACAAACAGAAACAGGAGCCGAAGACACCAGTTGCACCAAAAAAGGTAGGAACAGTGAGTCCCCATGCCAGGGTGGCTCCTTGTGTGTCGGGGGGCGGGGGGTAACCCCAGGCTTTGGGCCTCTTGGAAGCACTCCAGACTCGGCAGGGCCCCTCACCTCACCCACCGTGTGGTTTCTCTGCCTGGCAGGACTTGAAAATCAAGAACATGGGCTCCTGGGCTAGCTTGGTGCAGAAGCATCCCACCACCCCGTCCTCCACAGCCAAGTCCTCGAGTGACAGCTTCGAGCAGTTCCGCCGCGCTGCCAGGGAGAAGGAGGAGCGCGAGAAGGCCCTGAAGGCACAGGCCGAGCACGCAGAGAAGGAGAAGGAGCGGCTTCGGCAGGAGCGCATGAGGTGGGCTGGGGTCGCAGGCAGCGTGGGGCCTCTGGCGCCGGCGCTGCCCCTGTGCTGACCAGCAGCTCTGCTCTGCTCTGCTCTGCTCAGGAGCCGAGAGGATGAGGATGCGCTGGAGCAGGCCCGGCGAGCCCATGAGGAGGCACGCCGGCGCCAGGAACAGCAGCAGCAGCAGCGGCAGGAGCAGCAGCAGCAGCAGCAGCAGCAGGCCGCCGCTGTGGCCGCCGCCGCAGCCCCCCAGGCCCAGAGCTCCCAGCCCCAGTCCATGCTGGACCAGCAGAGGGAGTTGGCCCGAAAGCGGGAGCAGGAGCGAAGGCGCCGGGAAGCGGTGAGTGGGGAAGGAGGGACTTCTGGGTGGGGGTCCACTCTTGGAGGGGCTAGAAAGGGGACTGGGAACCTAGGGGTGAAGGCAGCCACTCCCTGAGAGGTAGGGAGAGCAGGGAGCCCAGAGGCTGGGTGCTCGGGACAGGACTCCTGCTCAACTGTGCTGTGTGGGCCTCGGGGCTTCCCAGGTGGTTCAGGCTCAGTCCCAGTGCCTGGAGATTTCTGGGGGTGGGCCCTGAGGGCATGGCCTATGCTGGAAGTTGTGGGGAGAGCTTGGAAGCCGTAGCGGGGGTCAGGTACCTAGTCTTACTCCTTCTTCCCTTCTCTCCACTCCAGATGGCAGCTACCATTGACATGAATTTCCAGAGTGATCTATTGTCAATATTTGAAGAAAATCTTTTCTGAGAGCACCTAGGTGACTTCTGACTTTGATTTTCTGGCAAAACATGGACTCTCCATAGTGTTAGGGGCGGCAGTGGAGGTGGTAGCAGCGGCAAGGGGGTGTCTCCGGGCCTGGCCCTCCTGCATGCTATGCCCGGGGCAGGCCTGACGGGCAGCTGAGGATCGCAGAGCCTGTCTGCCTTACAGCCAGCCGGACGTCCCGCCACCCACCACCCCCTCACAGGACGTCAGCTCACAGCACGCCTCTCCACAAGCAAGTGCCGGCCAGACCCAAGCCGTGTGTCCCCGCGTGCGGGGCAGAGGCCCTGCTCTCCGCCAAATGTCTACACAGTATACACAGGACATTGTTGCTGCCGCCACCGTGACTGGTTTTCTGTCCCCGAGAACGTGACGTTCGTGACATCCTGCCCACCAGGAGTCCTTCCCCCACACCCCAGCCACCACCGCCCGCTCCCAGGAGGCCAGGGCAGGCCCGAGCGAGCTGGAGGCGGGCGAGGGCGTCGGCCCACCCCCTTGCTGGCACTGACTTTGCCTTGAACAGACCCCACCCCTTCCCTCCCCCCACAAGCCTTTAATCGAGAGCCGCTCTCTGTAAGTGTTCGCTTGTGCAAAAGGGAATAGTGCCGTGGAGGTGTGTGTGTGTCCATGGCAATTTGGAGCGAGGTGACTGTCACACGCGCGTGTGTGGGCCGGCCTCGCCCAGTGAGTGAGGCCACCAACCAAAGTCAGTTCCTTCCCACCTGTGTTTCTGGGTTTTGTTTTGTTTTTGTTTTTTTTTTTTTGTTTTGTTTTTTGTTTTGTTTTGTTTTTTTTTTTCTATATATATATATTTTTTTGTTGGATTCTATTTTATTTTTAATTCTCTCTTCTCCTCCAGACACAATGGCACTGCTTATCTCCGAAATGGTGTGATCGTCTCCTCATTGAGCAGCGGCTGCCACCGCGCTGTGGGTAGTGTGTGACCGTGGCTGTACTGTGTAGTGAACATAGTTGGCATATCTTTGTTTGAAGTTTGTTGGTGACTCCACCAAACTGGTGTAAAAAATTTCAAAAAAAAAAAAAAAAAAAACCCACAAAAAACAAAACAAAACACACAAAACACACACAAAAAAAACCCTGCCTATATTTTACTCAGTTTCAAACTTTATTAGTCTGTTTTTAATTATAAAGCCATGTTTTCTTTTCCCTCCCCCCCCCCTTGTTTGTTTTTAATGTCAAATCTGTTTGAGTTGCTTTTTTACCAGGAAAGGAAGGGCCAGGGCATGAGGCGGGCTCCGGGGGCTGGGGAGCCACAGACTACCGAGGTAGAGGCTCCCCACCCAGCCCGACCAGCCGGCTGCCCCTTCCCCCACTTTTTTTTTTTTTTTTTTAAATTTTATAATTGGAGCCCTTGGTGAGATTACGTGTGCCATGAGAACCCACTCTACACCACGACGCTGGTGCCTCAGTGTTGGCCAAACTCTGGAGTCACTGACTGGTTTGACTTTCATACGGTGAATATGCATTTGGTCTGTACTGATCATGGAATAAACACATCTCTCTTTTTTAATGCTGGCGTCTTCCTGACATTTCTTTTTGAACCACCTGTTGCCTAGGCTAGGCCCAGGGCCCCCCCCCCCGCCCCCCGGATTCCCAACCACCTTTGTACAAGAGTTACCATAGAGTTACCATCAGGGGCCACCTAGGCCAGCTCCTGTGACCAAGCTGAAGCTGTGACAGGGAGCCCAGGTACCCATTCTTCCTGTGGACCCTGGCCTTCTAGGTGGGTAACGTGCTCCAGCAGAACCTGGTCAAACTCCAGACAGTATTCTTCCCCTTGCCCTCCTCCATCCTGGTCCTCCACTCACCAGAGGACTTGGGCCGCTTCTCCCACCCTGCCTGCCTCTACCTTAACTACTCCTTTCATTTAAGCTCAGGGTTAACCAGATGTTCTTAGATAAGTGTACCCATCCCCAGTAGGATCCTCCCCTCCCATGCATGTAGACACACACACACACATTCCTACCCAAGAGAGCCTGTCATGTGGCTGCCCTGCTGCCCTCGTCTGGGTGCCCACCAGTGTGCCATGGGGCAAGGGCAGTACTCCGGTGGCCCCTAGGATGTAAGATGAAAGTATATCATTTATGTGTGCAGAGCCGCAAACTGAAACCTTCCTAGCACTGTTTATTAACCCATATCCTCCCGTTTTTCAACCACAAAAGCCCTTGTATCATCTTGTGTTTGGGATCTGCGAAATCTCCGGGCAAGGTATAGTTCAAGCATCCAGCCAGCCCCAGTTGCCTCCCTGACCCTGCCTCCACCCTGACAGCAGGCACTTCCTCATGTGCAACTGTGCTGGTTCTAGTGGGACTTATGTTTAGGTTCTTTGGGGTTTCTTCCATCTCTTCCCACCCTCTCATTTCTGTTCCGTGTTTTGTTGGGTAACTCCCCCAGGCCAGGTCCGACTGTTTAGCTGGAGAAATGGTTTTGTCTGCACCTTTTTTCTAAAGATTTAACTCTGCCATGGCCCTCTCCACACTTCCCTGATGGGTGTTTCTCTAACTGGGTTGTAATTAGAACTTGGATCTACTATTTAATTTCTCTGGCCATTTCCCACTCCCTCCCACAGTACTAGAAATCTTAGTCCTATACAAGAGTAAGAGGTGTGTACAAGCCCCCACTGTACTGTATGCACGGATCGCTTGGCCAATAATTATGTCAGTGAATCTGAGACTTGTATTAAACACTTTAGACATTTGTAGAAGGGAATTCGTAGACTTTTCACTTATATACTAAAGGTTTTTTTTTTTTTTTGTGCAGTTCTCATTGCAAAAATAAACATTTGTACTGAATATAAAATTACCATCCTGTGACTACCGCTGTCTTTTTGTTTGAGGGTACAGCTGGGGCAGGGGGATGGTGAGAGTTTTGTGTAGCAGAGGAAGAAGGGACATCCCCAGACACCCACTAGCCATGCAGCCAGATTACAGAGGACTTGGGAGGGATACCGGGGTCATCCAGTGGTTGGGAAACTGATTTGATGGGAAGTGTAAAAGAAACCAAAGCTATGATACAGGCTAATCGCACAAGAAAAGAAAGGTACTAAGTACAGGGAGAATAAAGCTTTGTACAATACAAGCCATGTAATCACAGCCCTCTACCCGACGCTGAGATCAATTGTTTACTGAGGCGGAACCACATAAACCGCCATTCCCCTGTAAGTAGGACCCCACAGACTTAATTATGGTCCCAGGACAGTAATGTCTAGCAGCTTTAACAATACAGAGGTAAGGTTAGCAGTGACGAAAAGAAGGAGTGTAGTGCTTAAAAGTTGGAGGAAACCAATAGGAGGACTAAGAACCGGTAGGGCCCGGGCCAGTGGTGGGGAGACGGAATCGATGCGGTGCGTCGTGCCCCAAATTGGCCAAGAAATGGCTACGCGAGCGCCTAGCGAGATACCTGGGCAACCCGCGGAAGCATTCGGACGGCTGCCTCGGCGGGAGGAGAGGCGGGGCCTGGGGTGGTTGCTTTTCTTCTGTAAACCCTGTTCTGCAAGCTGTGTGGCCTTAGGCAAATGACTTACTCCCCCAGTTTCAGGCTCGTGGTCTGTCATGCAGGGATGTGATCATGGTACCCACACTTAATAGGGGTGTTCTACGGGCTCAACGATGAGTGACTGAGATGTTCAGGATCTTGCGGGCAGGTTGCAAAACGGAGGGAGCCGCCCGGTGCGGCCTCTCGCCCGACCCTGCCCCACTTCCTCTTCCAGGCACAGGGGCCCCAGCGCCTCGACCCGCCCGGTCCTCGGGCTCCCGGGCCCGGCCGGCCCTCTGGAAGTCCGAGTCTTCATTGGTCGCCCCGGCGGAGTCCCCCGTCTCAACACCGGCCTATTGGTCGCCGGGCCTGCACGTCAAGAACCACCGCCCTCCAATCACAGCCGCGCGGGGGCGGGCCGACGATGGGGCCGCCGGACTAACGAGGCCGGCGCGGGGTCGCCGCTGCAGGAGCCGCCGTTGGAACCAGGCCTGGGTGAGGGTGCTGCTAGGTCGCTCCCAGCTAGCCTAAGGACAGGGTCGCGCTCCAGGAAGGGGCGCTGTCGGAGGGCGGCGCCAGGGGCCCCCGAGGCCGCCTCGGCTTGCGGCGGCCGCCCGCGCCTCCCTCCTAATCGCAGCCGAGGCACTACCTGTTCCCCTCCTTCCGCTTCCGGGCCCGCCCGCCCCGCCATATTTGGCTCCGGCCCCGCCCCCATCTCATTGGCCCGGATCCAGGCCGACCGCCAGCTTATTGGCCGAGCGCTCGCACCCAACCTTCGGGGCGGGGCTTCGGGCCTTCTCCCGCCCAGCTCTAGGCCCCGCCCCATCTAGGCCCCGCCCCGTCCAGCACCTAAGCCCCGCCCCCGCCACGCTCCGCGGCCGAGGTGGGTGGGTCCACGTTTCTGGCTCGTAGGCCGCCCGCCCCTACCCCGCACTGCTCCTCCCCTTCGCTCCAGGCTCCGCCCATTTCGCCCGGGTCACCCCGTCCCCCCCGGTAGTCCACATACCAATCTCCCCCGCGTATCAATCTTCAGGTACCCACCCACTTGCGGCGGGAGCCCTCCTGGGCAGCCCCGGTCCTTAAGCCCCGCCCCGGCCTGCCTAGGCCCCGCCCCCAGTTCGCATCCCAGCCTCCGAAGCCCGGTTCTCCAGGCTCCATCCCCGCACCCCATCCATCCTGTTCCCCGTCGCCGTCGCACCCAGGTGTTTGCCTGGCACTTAGGTGAGTCGTGTGCGGCGGCGGTTTCGGTCTGAGCCTCCCGCCTCTTCTCTCGGAGCCGTCCTCAAGCCCCGAAGGCACGGAGGGGCCCCAGACCAAAGGCGGTGGGCGCCCCAGCCCCGGCCCCGCCTCGTCGCTGCCGCAGGCGCCCCCCGCGCACACCCCCAGAGGCGGCGCCCAAGTCGTCCCGGGTCGCGGCGACATGCCCGAGCTGGTGGTGACAGCGCTACTGGCGCCGTCGCGCCTCACCCTGAAGCTGCTGCGCGCCTTCATGTGGAGCCTCGTGTGCTCCGCGGCGCTGCTGGCCGCCGCCGTCTACGGCTGCATCGCGCTCACACACGTGCTGTGCCGGCCCCGGCGCGGCTGCTGCGGGCGCCCCCGGCGCACCCCACCCGCTTGCTTGAGCAACCCCACCCTGGGCGAACACTGCTTCCTGACCCTCAAGGTGAGCCCGCGCGCCGGGGGAGGGGCCAGGCGGGTGGGGGGGTGGCCCTTGGGGCTTGGGGTTCAGCAGCCCCGGGGGTCAGGCCCTGTGGGGCCGGGGCGGGGTGAGCAGGAACCCAAATCTGGGACCGCACGTGGCCGGGCTGTTGAGGCCTAGCGAGGAGGGGTTCCCCAGGTCTGACTGTGCCCTCCCGCAGAGCTCGGGCCTGCGCCTGCACTATGTCTCCGCTGGACGGGGCAACGGGCCCCTCATGCTGTTTCTCCACGGCTTCCCCGAGAACTGGTAGGTCTGAAGCCCAGGGTCCTGGGGCACACGGGCTGGATGGAGGTGGAGGCCGACCACCTGCGCATCTGGGAGGCAGGCTCTGGGGCTGCGTAGATTGGAGGCCCAAAGCACAGAGATGGGGTGTTCCAGGACAGGGGTCTGTCTTCAGGAGGAGGGCCTGGAAGGATGGGACAAAGAGGTCTTGGTGTTGAGGCCACCCTGGATCCAGTGTGCAGCTGACCTTGCCCTAGTCCTGGGGGTCCCCCCATCTTCCATTCTCGGAAGCCCAGAGCAGGAAGATGGGGTCACCAAAGGCCCCTGCTGGGCAAACGGTGGAGATGCAGCCTGGGGACCCTGACACCCTCTCTCCTCACTCGTCTGACAGGTTCTCCTGGCGCTACCAGCTTTGGGAGTTCCAGAGCCGTTTCCACGTGGTGGCCTTGGACCTGCGGGGATACGGCCCCTCCGATGCACCTCGGGATGTAGACTCTTACACCATTGACCTGCTGATGACAGACATCCAGGATGTCATCCTGGGCCTGGGTAGGGCTACCTCCCTTCCCAGGCCCCGTCTCCCTCACCCTGCCCTGCCTCTCCCTGGCATCTCACTCAAACCAGTTCCTCTGACCGCCCCCGCCCCCAGGTTATTCCAAGTGCATCCTGGTGGCCCATGACTGGGGTGGGCTCCTCGCCTGGAATTTCTCCATCTACTACCCATCCCTGGTTGAGCGGATGGTAATTGTCAGCGCTGCTCCCATGTCTGTGTACCAAGGTGTGTTGGGGAGCCCAGGACGCTGGGATATGCTTGTGTGAAGGAGCATGTGTCTGTGTCTGTGCTTCCCTGTCCACCAGTCAACACTCCAGGGCCTAGGGACACCCATGACACTCCCAATCCGCAGTGAAGGACAATACACTTAGGAGTGACTCACGTTTCTTGAAGCACTTACAGGTAACCATTGCTCTGACAAGGAGCTTGCATGCGGTGACCTACATAGGTGTCTGAACATATGAAAATGTTTTTATCTTCATGGTCCAGTTGGGGGAAACTGAGGCAAGAGAGGTTAAATACTTCTTCCAGCAAGGAAGGCATAGATAAGTAAGCAACCACAATAGCATGAGATGCCATCTCACCTAATTCTAATTCCCAGTATCATAGTCAAAGTGACACAGTGACATGGTCCTCTTTCCTCTCTCTCTTTTTCTCTCTCTCTGTCTCCCTCCCTCTTTTTTTGCTTTTCTGTCTCTGTCTCTAGACTGTCAGCTCCCTGGGGGCAAGGGAGTCTTTGTCCGTTCCATTTACTGCTGTGTCTCCAGGGTTTTAAACAGGTCCTGGCACCCAATAGATGCTCAGTAAATGTTGAAATGCATCCAGGCCTGGGCAAGGGAAGCACACCAGTGGTTCTTGGGAGCTACAGAGGGAGGTGCCCCCATTCTGTGGGCCCCCTCGGCAGGGAGGGAAGCTGATGCCCAGGCCAGGAGGAGTGTCAAGTGTCCTCACGGCCTCAGGCAGACAGCAGTGACATCCCTGAATGCTGGCAAATCTGTACAGCTAACCTGGGTACCCACAGGAATGCAGGGGTCTGGGGCCACCCTAGGCCCAGGCCTCACATCTGCCTTTCCCCTGCCCCCAGACTACTCTGTGCGCCACATTGGGCAGTTCCTCCGTTCCAACTACATTTTCCTGTTCCAGCTTCCCTGGCTGCCTGAGAAATTACTGTCCATGTCTGACTTCCAGGTGCAGTAGGGCAAAGCCTGGTGGTAGGTGGAGGGTAGTGGGTTGGGGTGGGCAGGCTGGGCACTGAAACCACAGTCCTGTTATGTACCCAGATCCTGAAGAGCACCCTCACACACCGCAAGAGAGGCATCCCACACTTAACCCCCAGCGAGCTTGAGGCCTTCCTTTACCACTTCTCACAGCCCAGTGGTCTCACTGGGCCCCTCAACTATTATCGAAACCTCTTCAGGTGAGACCAGACCCGGGGCAGAAAGCCGGGGAGAGTTGTGGGGGCAGGGAGTGGGGCCGGGCATTCTTCTGCCTGTCTATGTCTTGGCCTTAGGAACTTCCCCCTGGAGCCCCAGGAGCTGGCCATACCCACACTGCTGCTGTGGGGAGAGAAGGACCCCTACTTCGAGCAGGGGCTGGTAGGGGCCATCAGTAGTCGCTTTGTGCCCGGCCGGCTGGAGGCCCACATCCTGCCAGGCGTGGGACACTGGATCCCACAGAGCAACCCTGAGGAGATGCACGAGTACATGTGGGCCTTCTTGCAAGACCTGCTGGACTAGTGGCTCTTGCTTGCTGGCCTGTGTGCCCCTGGGAACCCACACAACATACATACATACCAGAGTGGGCTCCGGATCCGGATCTTGAACAGGGCGTGGACTCCTAGGCTGCACACAGGGGTGTTGGTGGATGCCTTCGGGCACACCAAGCCAGAGGCTCACACACAGGTATGAGTGTGTGTGCATGTGAACAAGCACTTCAACCCTGGTACACCTGTCCTCTGTGGAGCTTGCTGCGGAGGACCCTACCTCCCCCTCCCTGGGGCCTCACTCTTCTTGCCAACCTCAGCCCCCAGAGCAGCATCAACCACGTACTCTGACATGTACATACTCCAACATGTACATACTCCAGCCACCCCCCCCCCCATCCCTGACTTTCCTCTCCAACCTGAGTCTTCAGCCAAATGCTGCGGTCTAAAAGGGTAACTGGCAGCCACATCTGGCTGCTTCAGTTTAAATGCAAATTAATTAAAATCAATTAAAAATTCAGTTCCTCAGTCACTCTGGCCATACCTCAAGTACAAAGCAAGCAGTTGGGCAGTGCTGACGAGGGTAGTCCTAGAATAGACGTATCCACACCTGGCTCCTGACCAGCTCCCCACGTGCAAACAGGTAAGTGTCTGGATTCCAGTCTAGCCGGGCCCTGAGCAGCTCCCATGGGCTTCCTCCTGGTTGTGACTCCAGGCCTTGTAAGCTTGAATTCTGCTGCTGCCTGGGAAGGATCCCTGGGATCCCAGTCTCAGATCCACAGAAAAACAGCTTTAGGCTCCGTTAGGATGGATGCGTGAGATCCTGGACTGGCACAGGAAGGGACCAGCCCCTGGAGTCTTCTCCAAATTAGCCACAGTTTCTGCTGATTCTTCCTGAGGTCTTCTAGCTCCAGCCTCCAGATGAGGGTGGTACAAGGAGAGGGTGAACCACACAGCCCCAGGCTGGTGAAAGCACTTCTGTCTCCCCAGCCTTTGCCTGGCCTTTGGGGGCAGTGTCATGACCTGCTGCATGATGAATCTCTCTGGGGACCAGCAACCTCAGAAACACATTCCCTTATGTCTGGGATGGGCCTGCCTGGCTAATGCCGGCCTCCCAGTCATCCCCCTACGTCCTCTCATCTATTCTGCATGTCAGGCACCGAGCTAGGCCCCGGTTGTGGAGTCAACACAACAGGCATAGAGAGCTGTGTGTGTGTATGAGGGCTCAGGAAAGGCTTCCCTAGTTGGGGGACACACTTTTTGGGGAGTGGGAAGGTCAGAGGCGGAAATAAGCAGATGTAGGCCACTAGAGCGACAACGTGGGGGTTAGTGGCTGCTAGGGCAGAGCGAGGCAGAAGAAGCCACAGCCAGTCCTCCAGGGGCTGCGAGGAGTTTGGATTCGATTCACAAGGGGAGCCAGACGAGAGTTTTCAGCCGGGGAGAGACACGGCTTGCATTCTGAAAAGCTCCCTGTTGTGGCTGGACAGTCCCACGCAAGAGTGTGAGCGGGGAGACAGGCCGGGGGCCGTGCAGGGCCTGTGCACGGGGTGGCGCGTTAGGTCCCACGGGAGCCGGCCCGGGCGCCTCGCCCCCACCCCCGCCCTCGCCAGGATGGGAGCAGTGCCCCCTAGGGGCGAGGAGATGGGCCGGAGGGGAAGGGGACCCCGCGACCTCGGGGTCTGGGGCGAGAAGGCCTGCGAGCAGGACGAGGACGGTGTGTGTGTCCAGGGGCCGGTGGGTCTGGCGACGGTTGCCAGGGTGACGGGGGAAGGGCTGATGGTCGACCGGAACGGGTAGCGGTTGTCTGGGTGACTGGAGGGGCCCAGGCGAAGGCTGACGGGAGGCCTCGGACAGTTGCCGGGGCGACAGGTCCGCTGACGGTTACCAGGGCAACTGGAAGGCGCCGTCCCCCTCCTCCTCGGCCGCAGGCGGGAGGGAGTCGGAGTCTGGGCCTGGGGGGGGGGCTTGATGCGGAGATTGGGCAGCGTCCTGGCTCGTGAGCCAATAGGGACTCGTGGTTCGGCCGGAGCCCGCCTCCCTCAGCCTGAGCCAATCCGGGCGCGCCTTTCTCCCGGCCGAGGGCTCGGCGCGCGCAACCCTTCGAGCGGGAGAAGGGACTCGGAGGTCTCGGCGGGGGCGGCTCGCGCCCAGGCCCCTCCCAGGCCCGGCGACTCCCTCTCCCCGCTCCGAGCTCCGGTCTCGGGACCAGCCTTCACCGCGCAGCCATTCAGTCAGTCATTCGCTCGTTCATGCGCCCCTACCACCAGCTCCACGCCTCTAGCCAAGCAGCAGAGGAGCGGCGGGGAGATGGAGCCAGGCTCCAGAGGACTAAGGAACGGGGCGCTTACCTGGGGAGCGGCAGGGAAGGCTCCCTGGAGGAGGTGGCCTTGGAGCCAAACCCTGCAGGGATGTGCTCCAACTCACGCAAACCTCCACGCGCAGCTGATCTAGTGTTCCCTGAGACTGGGAAGACAGCTTGCGGTGGGAACACAGTGGGATTGCGAAGGACTTCAGACACGGGGCGGGGAGCTTGATCCCCAGCACCATGGGGGCCGGCAGGGAGGGTTCTGGGTAGATCTATGTGTTCAGGGACTGGTGAGGCGGCAGGGCCAGAGGGGGAAGACTGAGAGGGAGGCCCGGAAGAAGGATGGGCATGTTCGGGCAATAAAAGATGAGGCGCAAACCCAGGCACTGGGTGCGGAGCAGATACGAAGGGAAGGCCAGAAGCAGGTTCGGGGCATGTTCAATCTAAGCGGCCTGGATCCCTGGTGCAAGGACCTAGATGCTTCTGTGCACTAAAGACAAAGATGGCCAAGCCACTGTCTGTGTGGCGGGACAGGGGGCTGCTGAAGCTGGGCGAGGATGAAGTCTCCCCAGAACAGAGCAGACAACAAGATGGCACTGAGCCCTTGCGGTTCCAACATCTAAGGGACAAGCAGAGCAAAGAAACCACAGTCAGAAGGGGAAGCAGGCAAGCGTGGTGCCCGGCAGTGCTGCTGCTGGTGGTGGTGGTGGGGTGTCAAGCAGGAGGGGCACAGCCCATGGTGTCACAGCTGACAGATGGAGAGGACTGAGCCACATAACAGTCAGCCTCTGAGAGTGGAGGCCAAGGACACAGGACGTGGATGTTCTGAGCCCCCTTAAGCAGAAGTGGGGAGGGAAGCGTGGGCTCCAGCTGTGAGCCTAGGGGAAATGAGTGGCACATTCACATGGGGTAATTTGAGGCAGGTTTGCTATAGGGAGCTTATAGATAGAGTGGGCAGGGTTTGGGGAAACCAAAGGGGTGAGCACCTATGGGGCGCCATTACCATCTCTCTGGACCCCCTGACCAGACAAGGAAAAAGAAGGACGTTAGAAATCCAAGGATAGGCTTATGCGGACAGGGTCTTAGGTTAGGGATGCACCCAGCTGAGGTGGCCCTATGGGAAGGGATGCAGGATTAATATCCCATTGTCTCCTTCGGCTTCATCTTCTGCCGGTGCCTCCTATTGGCCAAACCCACCTGGAAGCCAGAGGACAAGGCAGCCCATTGATGCAGCCTGTAGAGGTCAGCCTCCGGGGGCACGGAGTGGAGCGGGGAAGGGGAAGAATGAAGCGAAGCAGAAGCAGGGGACAGAGTAAGGGGGTGGGGGAACGTGAGATGAGCATTTGTTGTGGATTCCTGTGAACTTCACTTTTTCGTGGAACAGACCTCATCCTGTGGCCAAGGGAAGAGGTAATGAAAAGCCCTGGGGAGGGACGCCCCGGTGGCTCAGTGGTTTAGCGCCTGCCTTCAGCCCAGGGCAGGATCCTGGGGTCCCGGGATCAAGTCCTACATGGGCTCCCTGCATGGAGCCTGCTTCTCCCTCTGCCTGTCTCTCTCTCTCTCTCTCTCTCTCTCTCTGTGTGTGTGTGTGTGTGTGTGTGTCTCATGAATGAATAAATAAAATCTTTAAAAAGGAAAAAAGAAAAGCCCTGGGGAGGCATTCCCCTTTTCTGATCAGGAAGACAGGTAGGGGGGACAGGTGCCATACTTATGGGAAGGAGGATAAGCTTCAAGGGCTAGGGAGCCAAGGACAGGCTGGGGACATCAGAGCAGGAGGAGATGGGGTCTGGGCTAAGGTCATGGATGTGGAAGATTAGAGCGGTCTGAGCCCAGGGTCTGTGAGTCCAAGGCATCCAGTGGATGTCCCACCCAATGGGGGGTCTTAAGACAGGGAAACCACCGCCTCCAGAAGGCGTGGGGGGTGGGTGGCCTCCCTTTTCACTTGTCCAGAGCTGCAGAGCCTGTAGTCTCTCAGGTGAAGGGAGTTCCCTTCTCTTCACTCTTCCATATTCAGGTCTCACCCCCTCTCTTCTGAGAAGCTCCACCAGTTCCCAGGCCTACCTCTGACCTAGAGCTGATCTAATGGGGACATCTCAAGGGCCGGCACCGGGCACACTCAGGCCCCAGCTCCTGGGTTCCTGCTCTGCAATGAGTGAACTGGGTGTATCCTTTCACTCGACTGGCAGTTACTTCAGCTACTGTGAAATAGCTCTATGCTGGACACTGGGGATTCAGCAGCGAGCGAGACAGATGCCCACAGAGCTCAGAATCTGATGGGGAGGTTCAGTTGGTAAAGCATCTGGCCTTGGGCTCAGGTCATGATCCCAGGGTCCTGGGATCGAGCCCTGAGTCGGGTTTCCTGCTTCACGGTGAGTCTGTTTCTCCCTCTGCACCCCCCCTCCACCCCCATCCCCCTGCCCAGCTCGTGTTCTTTCTCTCTCTCACCCGCTCTCTCTCTCAAATAATAAATAAAATCTTAAAAAAAAAAAAAAAGAATCTGACCGAGAGCTAGGAAGGATCACATGGAGTGAAGAGGTCATGGCACCCCAGAGGAGACGGTGTAAAGCCTCAGGGACGACTCCCTGGGAGAGAAGAAGGCAGAGCTTCTAGAGTGGTCTTCTACAACCTCAGCCAGATCAGCTTCTCCCTGCAGAAAGCCCCAGTGGCAGCCACTGTGCTGTGCTAGAATCCCAGACCCTGTGGCCCCTTGAGACTTGGCCTGCATCATCTCCCTCAACTTCCCTTCCCTTGCTCACTCTGCGCCTGACACCCTGGCTTCCTCGCGGCTCCTCTCATCCAGTTGTCCCTTCCTCGTCTGGGCCTTTGCACTTGCCATTCCCTCTACCTATGTTGCTCCTGGTTGGCTCCTCTCCTCTTCCAAGTCTCAGCTGCAATGTCCCCTGATTCAGAGAGGCCTGTCCTGCCCCCCGACACTGAAATCCCCCTTCTCTCATGTCACACTCAACGGTTCTTATTTGTCTATCTTCTTGTTTCTGGTCTGTCTCCCCCATCAGGGCAGGAAACAGCTCTTTGTCACCTCTGCCCATAATGGGGCCTGCCACCAAGTAGGTAGTCAGTAAGGTTTGTTGAATGAATGAATGAATGAATGAATGAATGTGAGAAGCGCTGGAGAGTCTGAGTGAACTGCCAAGTGGTACCTGAAGGTGAACCTTCAGGGTATGAGAAAGGTGCTCCCAACTGTGTAACCTGTGCCA